TGACTTACAAAAGAGATTTTTGCCTAGCAAGTACTAAGCCCTGAGTTCAACCCCCAGTACCACAAAGAGAAATCATGATAATTACTTGTGTTTTCTGTTGACTTGTCAGTTTTGACCACTTAGGAAACTGAGTCTACTACATTTTCGAGTCTTGCCTGAATTCTCTTGCTGGACGCAAGGACCCAAGTATACACCAGCACTAACCTTTCTGGTAACTATGGCTAAAGTGGTAGAGAACCTGCTTTGCAAGCACAAAGTCCTGAGTTTAAACCCCAGTTTCCCCCAACCCCCCCCCAAGCCCCCTGAAACTCAAGTTCACCCAAATCTACACTGATACAAGAGCAGCTACACAGTTCTACTTATCTCTTGGACTCCTGCCCTCCTCTTACTTTGGCCAATAGATCCTGAGCCTCTTAGTGGCTAGGTAATGATTTTAAAGGAGTCTTAATATGGGCATGGAGGTACATTCCTATAATTCCAGAACTTAGAAGCCTGAAGCAAAAGGATCTTGAGTCCTAGGCCAGTCTGGTGTGGTATTGGGGCTTAAACTCAAGGCCTACACCTTGAGCCACTCCACCTTTTTTTGATGGGTTTTTTTTTTTTTTTTTCCAGATGGGGGTCTCCCAAACTATTCACCTAGGCTGGCTTTGAACCACCTCCTGAGTAGCTAGGATTACAGGTGTAAGTCACTGGTGGCTGGCTAAAAGTCATTTTTTTAAATTCAATTTTTTTTCTTTTTGGTAGAACTTGGAGTTTGAACTCAGGGCTTCATGCTTGCAAAACTCCGCCGCTTGAGTCATACCTCCAATCCATTTTGCTGTTATTCTGGATATAAGATTTTGAGGATTATTTGCCTGGGCTGGCTTTGAACCATGATCCTCCCTAGCTCAGCCTCACAACTAGTTAGGATTACAGGTGTGAGCCAATGGCACCTGGCTCAGGCTTCTTTATTTGTTTCTGTGGTGATTAATAAGCACTTTACACACAGGAAGGTATTTTGAAACTAGGTAAATATAGCATCCTTCATCTAACTTCTGGTTTATTTACTTTTATCAGTATGAATTCATGGTTTCCATTTTTTATTCAGTGGGATATAATCCAGTCATTTTGATGTCCATAATATCCCAGACTTGGCCAGCTGGCTCCTGTGTCCTTTGGAGGTGACTTTTGTTTTGGAGGTGATCTCATCAATCCTTGGGGAGTACTTTGCCCTCTTACACAAGGTGTTCCTGGCACATCTTGTGCTTTGGCTCCAGCCCTTGAGTCATCTATTTCTCCAGGTGGCCCTCAGCTTTCGAAGTGGACCATGGTATTTAGAAGACAAGATCTAGGCACAACGTACTTATTGCATTGGGGTGCTATTGCTCCCATGCCCTCTGGTCACAGCTATTTCCATCCTTACTTATTTCCACATTGACGTAGGTATGTTGAAAACCATGAATCCACACTAACAACTTCTCTTCCAATTCACCATCATCAGGGCTCATTCTTGCTTTCTCCCTTTTCACACCCTTCTCTAACAGTAAAAAAACAAAAACAAAAAAGTAAAACGATGGCCTGTGTTATCCCTAATACAGTTATTTGATTAATCTGTCTGTAGCCAAGCCCCCATCAGTCTTCTTGCATAGATCCCCTATCCAGGCCCTGAAAGGTGCCCTGGACTGGCCCCTATGTAGGCATCCTCATCCATCTCAGGCTCTGACACCTCCTCCAGGTGACCTCCATAGAAGAGGACCTCCTCATTCCACTTGGGCCCCCACCTGACAATAGATCATCCTCCTACTGTACTGAGGCTCTAGTAGCTCAGGTCAGTCTACTCGGGTGTAGATACCCTCTTCATTCTCTTTGGGATCTGATTCTCTGTGTGAACACACAGAGACACATACATGCACTTTTCCAGACTCTGACAACCTGCACATAGGCTCCCTCCTTGCTCCACCTCAGCTGGCCTCCCACTTAACTCAGGCTCCCAGCCTACATGACACTACTTTCCAACACGGTGCCAATGCCCCATAGCAGGCTGCCCCCTCCTCTGCTCAGCCTGTCACCTCTGTGCGTGGTCTTCCTCCTCACTCACCTGAGCTTTGCTATCCCACACCAAACAGCATGAATGTGTAGCCTGCTCTGTTCCAAATAATGGCACTAGGAGGGAAGGGAAAATCAGAAAATATTAACTGCACCTCATGGGTATTGTTTCATGAAATTCTAGTTTTATAAGTGTGTCAATTTTTCATCACTGTAACAAAATACCTGAGATAGTCAATTAAAAAGAGGAGCTGGTGGAGTGGCTTAAGTGGTAGAGCACCTCCATAGCAAGCATGAGGCTCTGAGTTCAAACCCCAGTGCTATGAAAAAAAAAAAAAAGCTGCTTAAAAAGGGAGAAAAGTTTATTTTGGCACAATTTCAGTCCATGATCACAAAAGTGGCCCTGTCACTTTGGGGCTACAACAGAACAGTGTATCATGGCACAGAGCAAGCTTCTCACCTCATGATGGACAGAAACAAAGACAGAGCAAGACAATGACCCAAAAACTCTCTCCAGGCCTCACCACCTTTACAATAGCACCAAGCTGAGTAACAAGCTATTAATGCATGGGCCTTTGTGTGGGGGGAGGGCATTCCATAAACAAACTATAGCCATGTGTATATTAGGTTATGGTATAAAATATACTTTTTACTGGGTCTCAATTAAAAAAGTACAAAAGCTGTTCCTCTAGAAAGATTCTAGAATTATGGTGCTACTACCCACCCCCATTTGGTGCCACATGTGTGCCAGACTGCTGTCTTAAGAGACACCTTGTTGCCTGTGTGAACACCCTGTCCAAAAGCATGCTGCTCTCATAGCAACAGAGATAACAACTTGGTGGGCTATTGGGGGTCAAAGGCCTGCAATCTAACTCTAGCTCAATCAGTTACTACCCAAGCAATAAACTACACAAGTTTACATATTAAAAATGCAGTGCCTGATGCTGTGGCTCACTCCTGAAATCTCAGCTACTTGGGAGGCAGAGATTGGGAGGACTACAGTTAGAGACCAGCCTGGCAAAGTTAATGAGACCCTTCCCCCATCTCAACAAATAAGCCCAGTGTGGTGGTGTGTGCCTTAGGCTATGGTCAGAGGCCAGCACTGACCCTATCTGAAAAATAACCTAAAAGTAAAAAGGGCTGGGGGTGTGGTTCAAGTGGTAGAATGCTTACTTATGAGGCCTTGAGTTCAAACCCTAGTACCATGTAAAAAAAAAAAAAGAAATGCAGTTGGTAAGGTTTGTCCTTCTCTCCCAAGTCATAAAACCTGGTAGAATGTGAAAAGTGCACTGAAAAGCAATATAATTATAACGATCAATATTTAAGGAATGGATATATACCTATACATGCAACCCTCTCCACATTTGGCAGATGAGGAAACTGGGCTTTAAGGATGCTGTGGATGAAGCAGTATTTAAACCCAGGTCTGGTATACTCCACCCTCAGAATCATTAAATGTCACTTTTAAATGCTGTGTGAAGAAGGAAGTTTGTTAGAAGAGAAGGAGCCTCTTTATTCTCTTGGGGAGGGGAGGGTTGAACTACTTGATAGAGAATTGGGTCTTTTTGCCATTTGCCCTTAAAAATAGTAATTCTTGACAGTTTTGAGGGCTTTTGTTGCCTCTTCTATGCAAATATAGCTAAAACTCAAGGTTCAGAAGCTAAATGGGGCAATGCTAAAACGCCAAAACCAGCCCAGGTATGGTGGCATATGCCTGTAATCCCAGCTACTTGGAAGGCAGACTGCAAGTTCCAGGCCAGCCTGGGCAAAGTTAGAAAGACCCTATCTCAAAAACAAAACATAAACAAAAGGACTGAGAGTGTGGCTCAAGTGGTAGAGTGCTTGCGTAGCATGCGCAAGGCCTTGGGTTCAATCCCTGATAATGCAAAACATAGTATGTAAAAATAAAATGTCAAAGGCAATCCCTGGTACAGGGTCCTAGAGTGACACAGCAGGACTCTTAAGTGTAAAATGGCAAACAAGGTAGGAGATGCTGGATGAATGTAGAAGACGCCAGATAAGTATGTTGAAGAATAATCAAAAGATAGCTCTGACCAAAAGAAAACTCTGGTAGATTGAGCGGGGTAGTTAGCCAGGGTGTAGTTTTCTTGGCCCCCAAGAGGAGGGTCTGCTAAAGAGGGGGGCAGACTGCAGGACAGTTAGTCTGGTTTTTCTAGGATTGCCCACACTCCTGTCCTTCCAAGGAACAATCCTTGAAAGACTCAGGGATAGAGGGTGTGGGCAGAGGCACTTGGGGCAGGCAAGAGAAGTTGGGGTTCTGAGCTCAAAGGGCTGCAATTGTGGGTGCTATTCACTCCCCAGCCCTAATTCTTAGGAAAAAGGAAAAAAAAAACCAAACCAACCAACATGTCTTTCTCTTTATGCTAAAGCCCTGAATTTTGGCATGGTGGTGGTGGTGTTGGGATGTACCTTGCTCTTGACTCTCCTGAAGCCCCTGGGTTGACCAAGAAATTAGGGGTGCAGAAGTCAGCTCCAAGAATCCAGAGATGATCTGCCTCCCTGGCTAGTTCTTGGTAATGTACAGCCATCGCCTTCTCCTTCAATAGCTTGCGCTACATATCTCCTATCTCCACTTTTGGTTGGCAAAGACATCCTGAGTGTTGCTGGGAGTGAGAAGACCTTGACCAAGAGGCAGTTTGTTTTGTTTTGTTTTGTGGTACTGGGCTTGAACTCAGGGCCTACACCTTGAGTATCTCCACCAGCCCTTTTTTCAAGATAGGGTTTCTATTTGCCTGGGCTGGCTTCGACCATGATCCTCCCGATCTCTGCTTCCTGAGTAGCTAGGATTATAGGCGTGAGCCACCTGTGCCTGGTTTAGGATTTTTTTTTTTTTTTTTTTAAACTTTTAGTGGTACTGTGGATCAAAACCAGGTCCTTGTGCATGGGAGGCAAACACTTAACCACTGAGCTACATTCCCAGCCCAAGAGTCAGGAATTGACAGAACCTGGCATGATCTATGCAAATTCTACAGCATTTTATATAAGGGACTTGAGCATCCAAGAATTTTGGTTATCAAAGGGGTGTCCAGGAACTAATCCCCATGCATGAGTGATGACTTACAATCTATTCATCTGGTTTCTACGTAGATTCACTTCTGTCCTACTTCAGCAAACTAAACCCTGGGGATATTCTCCTCAATTCTCTTTGAAATCTCATTCAGGCATGTCTGAAATGTGCTAGTATTAGTGGACACATATGTGGCCTTCAAATTTACTTTCCAGAGCCAGGTGCCCGTGGCTCACACCTGCAATCCCAACTACTGGAGAGTACAGTACAGGAGTCCAGACTCTAGATCTAACAGCCATTTTTATTCCCTAGGAACAAAGATGTAAGGAAGAAACTCCAAAAGGAAATAGGAGCACGGATAACAGAATGACACCAAGATGGCCTGGCTCAGGAGTTGGGAGGATAGCACATTCCACAGAAGACCTGGTCACAGCATTGGTTCCTTAGATCCACATTTGCCCAGCACCTCGGTGCTCATCTTACAGGTGGAGGGTGGGGGGTCTGAGACATGGAAAATTTGTCTGCTATCAAGAATGGAGGTAGGCAGAGAAGAATGAGAGGGACTTGAATGTCACAGACAACCTGAATCACAGGTTGCTGCATCATAGACAACCTGAATCACAGTGCTCACTGTGGCTGACAGTAAGTGCTGAGATGGGATGGGAAAGGAAGAATCCTTTGGGCAAGGTAGCCTCTATGGTAGAGGTCAATCTTGCCAAATTGGGCCCCAGGGCAGCTGTAATACAAAGTGCTGCTTCTAATCACTCCAAAGGACATCAGAAGCCATTATCCTTTTCCCAGAGGCTCACTTCTATCCCCATTTCTGACACAATTCCATCACTTGCAATCCCTGTCCTCAAGAACAAAGACTGGCAAGGGACAGGAAAAACCCTGACTACTCTCCCACCAAAGATGTAACAAGTTCCACAACAAGCAAGAATCTTGAAGAACACAATCCTCCGGTGTGTGTGAGCTAAGTCATCCCAACCCATTCCCACCACATCAAGTGACTTATCCCTGCACAACAGGGTGACCTCTGGCTGCTTCCTGGCAGCAAGGACAGAGGCTGGAGGGCCTGATTCCCCATCATAGGGAGGTCTCTTGGACAATGAAGGTGGGGCTACATCCCTGGTGGACTGAGCCATCCTCAGCCATTGCCTCCTTCTCCCTGCTGTCCTGCAACACCCCATTCTTCATCTTCTCTGGAAACAGGTCCGTGTCCATGGGGACATCCTGGGGAACACAGAGTGAGAGTAGTAGAGCTAGTGAATGTGAAGGGGTGAATGCAGCAAAGGTGAGAGCCTGTTTGGTCCCTGAAGAAGCTAAGCCAAGCCGAGTGGAGGAGGAAGGGGAGAAAATGGGGTGGCAGTAAAGGAGCAGGAATGGGGAGGGCAACAATATAGCCCAGCTAAGCTGTGCTGTGGCCAGATTCATCTGCCCCTCCTAACCCCAAGTCAGTGTGGCCCTGTGGGTGGAGCTTGGGGCAGCTGCTGGGGGACATTCTACACTTAGGTAGATGATCAGAGAGGCTGGGGGGACAGGAGGAAGAAGGGGATGGAAGGGGACCTGGGCAGTGGGTGGTATCTGTGGAAAGGGAAGGGAGGGGATCATGAGACAATGGGTCCCACCTGGCTGTAGCTTCGGCAGCAAAGCCGCTTCTGATAGGACAAGGGCAGAAGTCCAAGGAGTTTTGGAAGCACAGGGTAAATGGTCTTGGGGTTCAGGGACCGGCCCCGCATTCCTCCTGAAGGCAGAGAAAGGAAAAAGCCCCTGTGTGACTATTACCAATACCCAAGGACCCCAGGACAGAGTCCCTCCTCCCCCAGTCTGCAAAGTTCCTAAGAGCTCCCCTCTACCCCACTTCTCTGGTCCATGATCCCACACCCTCACCAGTAAGCAGACTGACAGTCAGGCCCACCACAATGACTGTGGTGGAGTTGTGAGCGCTGTACCATAAATAGGACAGGGAATAGAACTGCTGCAGTCCTGTAGGCCTGGGGAGAAGAAAGGGTTGAGGACAATAACTGTGCTTTGTCCAGGAACTCCATAGGCACTTGGCTCCACCCACCTACATAGTCTGGGGATCCAACCCAACACTTCTCTGAGGCCTATGACAGACCATCTCTTAGCAAGACCCCCATGAAGTCCTTCCAAATTGAGCATCCCCAAGAACTAAGAGAATGAGCCCCGCCTTACTTGGAGAGGGTGGTGGAGGACATCAGGGTGGTCACAGTGGCAGCGGTCACATTGCTGGGCAGGGACCCATTAAAGGAAGAAAGTGGCACACCAGAGCCCATGCTGGTCACTATGCTCCCAATGCCAATCCAGAAGGCCATGATGAGTCCAGCCAGCAGGCCCACAATGGCACCCTGCCCAGAAATAAGGTGAACTCTCCTGTCACAAGGCCATCCCCACCAACCCATCACACCGGTCCTCAGCACTCCTGCTGAAAGCCCTGCCAACCCTGTCCCCATGTGCACATGACTGTGGAGCCAGATGTGTCACTCACAGGTGGGTTGGCACAAGGAAAGAACATCCCAAGGCAGAAGAGTCCCAGCAGTGGTCCCCCAACCATGCCAAAGATGCTGATTGCTGCCTGTAAAGGACAGGGTTGAGAAAAAGGAAAAGAACACACAGGCTCAGAGACCTCAGCCTCACTGACACAACATAGCCACTGGCCTCAAAACCCCACTCATCAGCTGTCTATCTTCTATCTGGCACAATTCCAGAGGACAGGATGGCTTGTGCTCTAGGTTCTCCTGAGGCTGATCCCTAGGTCTCTCTGAGCTGACATCCCAGAAATGACCCTGGGGCTTTCAGCCATTTGAGAGTCTGTTCATAGCTAAGGATGGCCTATCAGAGGGGAATTTCTGACACGTGCCTCTTAACCCCCCTCCAAAAAACCAGCTGTCTTCCTCAGTTTCCTGTTACAATCAATTCCTTTGCTTCCTTAAGAATTGCTTTCTCCCCTCCTTAGTCATTACCTGCAGCACGGGTCCCATATGGGAGGAAATAAAGGCCATTCCCAGACAAAGTAGCCCATAGCCAAAGGCTGGGGGAGAAGCAGAAGGGAGAAAACAAGCAGAGGTGAGTAAACCCAAGAAACGGGGCAAATGTAATGCAACCTCCCAACAAAACCACCACCTGAGTTCCTGGGAAGAGAGGACCTATTATCTTATGCCCCAGTTCCAGGTCCCTCCATCCTTCCTGCCCCTGTCCTCACACCTATGTGTTTCAGAAACCTCCTCAGGCAATGCCCTGAGGCATAAACAGCCAGGGAGTGAAAGCTATGTGCTTCGTCAGGCACATGCTGAGCCAGGAATAAAGCAGGTATTTCACAGCAAACTGATGACAGTGGTCAGGGTATATCTCAGAAAAAACAAGACTGAAGGTACATGAAAGCATGATCCCACCAAGGCTTCTGGAAAGCATGATGGCCCGGGTTTCAGAGAACTCAGGGAACCAAGGTTGAATCAGGTCTTCCATTGTAACAGTTGCCAGTGAATTAAACGCAGACGATATGGTGCTAGAAATGAAAAGAGAATTGCGTATGGGAGGTGAGAGAGGCAGAACAGGGACTGTATAGACGAATAGTGCCCTTAAAGGAGGGAGATGGCATGCACAGTCAAGAAACCACCCGCACAGTTACAGCCCAGGAGGCAAAGGACACTGTCCTTTCTCGTAAGTGTGGGTTGTTCAAGTAGACGGACGCCTGGTACTGTGAAAGAAGAGCTTTTAAGGAAAACAGGTCTTGAAGAGGCTATGCTTTGTCATACACAGTCCTCTGAGCTGTCCCTTGCCACCCACAGCAGAAGGGCACACTAAGAAACTCAGGGATCCCTCTCCCACCTGTCCCCTTGTAGGGAGCAGGGGTAGATGTATTCTGTGTGGGGAACTGGTTGACGGGGGTACCTGAGGGAGCCACTGAAGAGGCAGGCAACAAACAGCCCAGGCAGGCCTGGAAGGTCTTTCAGAAGATCCATCACAAAGTAGAGGACAAGCTGCAAACAGAGCAGAGTGCACAGCTCTCTCGAGGGATGCCTTCCCCAGGCACCCTGTGAGGGGAAGCTGCTCCATACACGCCCCAGCCAGTCCACAGAGCCTGGGCACATCAGGAAGGAGTGCCAGACATGGAAACATGTGCTACCCAAGTCACCTCCTCCAAGAGGGGAGAAAACAGGCTCTGGAGAGAGAACAAGGCAGCTCACCCAGCTCTGCCTCTGACTAGCAAGCACTGTGATGTCAGTATGCTGTTGATCTTGTCAAGTCTGTTTTCTCCTCTGTAAAATGAGGCTGTTGGGAGGCTTAGATAAAGACCGGGCATTGATAGCTCCTAGCAGAGCTTGTGGTATATAGCGGGGAATGAATAAAGGAAACCCCTTACCACCTAAGCAGGGTGAGCACTAATTAGTAAGGCCATGTGCTGGGGTCTGACATGCTGGAACCTCAGAGTGGAGAGGGCTTTATATCCCTCTCCCATCCAAGGTGGGAGTCCTTTCTGCAGCCACCCAGAAACTCTGCTTAGGAGTCCAGGCTGGCCTCTCGCAGGCATAGGAAGGGGCCAGGGAGGCCTTCTCACCTGGTCAGGGGCTGCCTGAGACTGCTGGGTACTCATGGGATACTTCTGGTAATAGGCAAACATGACTAAGCCAATGAGGCAGCTCATGCAGAGGACCACCTGCTGGCAGGGGAACACAGCATAGCAGGAGCTGCAAAAGAAGCCAGTGCCAAGGGGAGAAACGAGGTTAGACACCCTCAGGTATGCCCTCCTGAGCCTCTAAAAAGAAAACCCCTTTCTGGATGGGGAGGGATGTGTGTGTACCCTGGATCCTTCCCATGCCACCTCCAGTGAACCCATTCCCCAAACACTTGCTCTGCTGCTTCCTGTCCCTGCACTCACAGCACAGCAGCCCTCTCCGTTCGGGAACTGAGGTAACGCTGCACCTGCGCCTGGTTCACCCCGTATAAGGAGAGCATCATGAAGACACCTCCAAAGGCCAAGGTCCAGAAGGTATGCCGCACAAAGGGGTCAGGATCCAGCCTGCAACAGATGCAATTCAGCCACTATGCCACAGACCCAGGCAAGATGCTTTCTTGCCCTCTTAGCAAGAGAGATCAGTGGAGAGCAGAGAAACCAATGCTAGGCCAAAGAGGCAAAAAGTTGGTGGACTCAGACACAGCAGCAAGTTGGAGGGAGGGTTCCATTTCTCCAACCTCAGCCTCATCTCAGATACTCATCCAGTAACATTCTGCCCCCCATAAACACCAGCCAGTCACCCATGATCATCATTCCCCTACAGTGCAAGTCTCCCACCAATGTAGAGTTTCACCAGAGGCTTCCTATCTTGCCCTCTGTTTACTACAGTCCTAAGACTGGCTCTAGGATGGGCTCCGTTCCCAGGCAATGCAGACCCCACCTAGGGGAAGGTATGTACTTACTCAATCCCAGAGATGAGGCCATGCTGTGAAGCCACATCCCATACACGCCCCAAGCCACCCACTTTGGCTGACCCCACGATGATAACCGCCAGCTGCCCTAGGAACATGACCAGTGTCTGGAACACATCTGTCCAGATGACGGCCTTCAGCCCACCCTGCAGGGAAAAAAACAGCATACCTACCATAAATGTCTTCCAAACTATCCACAAGGAAGACACCATACCACTAGTGAGGGAGCTGTACTGTCCCTGTATAATCGCTGACTCTGTTGGTCTCATTGTCATCCATTCTGTACCTTCATAGGCCATCCCTGTCCTATATCCCATCCTAAATCTCACTTCACCCCATCCCACCCTAGAATTTCATCCCATCTCCTACCTATAACCTTATTTCATCCCTTCTTTTTCTTCTCCTCCACATCCTTCCATCCCCCAGGGATTGCTGCACTTACCAGCGAAGTGTAGATGGTGCACACAATGCCTAAGGCCAGCACTGACAGCCACAGATCAAAGCCCGTCACTGTAAGCAAATAACAGTCACATGCCTATCTCTGGAAGGTTCTCAGGAAAGACGCCAGAAATGCCCTGGTGAGAGCAGCTTTGTCAAGTCACAAAGATGAAGTAATTAGTCACTAAAGATGAAATGAAATAAACTGGAGTCTTTGTTCCCATTTCCTGCGTTGGGAATAGGAAATGTTTCTCTTTCTTCCCTCCCCACCCCCTTTCTACATACTTTATCCTGTTATACTAAAATAAATCGTTGCTAAACTTCAAAAAGAAAAAAGAACTAAATCATTCACCTCAATGGGGAAAAAAATGTTTGCAGAGCTCCACCAAAAGGTGTTGATTAACAAATTCAGGTGCAGCATGGTAATGTTTGAACAGCTTGTAAGTGAGGTGAACCACGGCTGTTTCTACCTCTGGTAAAGACCAATCCAAGGGTCCATGCAGTGAATTAACTTGCTCTTCAAGGTCAGATTCTTTTTGGCACAATGCCCTCTCTCTGCCCCTCCCAAAGGTGTTTTCCCAGTCTGCCACAGCTGGAAGCCAGGGGCTATGACTCCTCACCTGCATTGAGGGCCAAGGATGGAGCATAGAGTACAACCCCCATGTAGATCACCTGTTGGATGTGGGAAAGGATGTGAGGGGAAGAGAAAATGTGGGTGGGAAGAGAGAAGGATGGCCCTCAGCTCCAATATCTCCAAGGCTTCCCTTCACCTAGGTCACTTCCCTCTCTGTCTCTCAAAGTCTGGCTTGCCACCACAGCGGTAGTATTGGGTAGAATGGGCAGGTTACCACTGGGGGCTTCACTGACACTGACCCCTTGTAGAATTTCAATCCTGCCAGTCTGACAGTAGGGAAGGCTCCACCTCCCTTAGCATGCCTGAATTCAGCTCCCTCTACCATGCCCCACGCTCCATTTCTATCACATTCCACTCACCATCTGAAAGATGAAAGTCACAGTTCCACAAACTCTTACTGCTTTATTGAATCGGAGTTCCAGGTACTGGGTAGGAGTGCACAGAAAAAAAAGGTATGGCATTCTTTCTTACTTTCCCACCCCAACACACACCTTTTCCCTCAAGAGGCTCAGGAACATGAGGGAATAAATATCCAACGCATAGCCACCCTGGACCTACTTGGCAGACTCTTCTGTCTGCCCCCTACCTCTCCACCAGGAACCATCCAGGAAGAACTGAGAAACTCAGAAGGGTTCTCTGTTACTCTCCCTTGGTGGAAGTGATCCAGGGTCCCAGCCCTCTCATGTCCTCTTCTCCATCCCTGCCCCTGGAGGTCCCTATGCAACTCCCCTCCCTCCCGGCTCACCTCGTAGGCACTGGTAAGATGCAGGCGGTAGAAGACAGGGATGAAAACGTGGGCAGGAATCAGCAACCCTAGGAAGTAAGAGCAGCCCAGGAACCAATACTGAGTCCCAAATCGGAAGATCTCAGATGGTGCACCCAGGATGGCCACAGCTGACTGGAAGGTGGCAAGCAGGGACAGTGCCACAGGAAGGCAGCTCATCTTGCGGTCTGCCATCAGCAAATGGCCAACAGTGTGGCGGCCCCAACCACGACAAGCATGGTAGAGTCCAATGGCCAGGGAGAGAAGTAGCAGCAGGGCAAACACCACATAGTCCACGACAGAGAAGGTGGGGACGACCACATTCGTATTTGAGGTTGGGTGGGGAGCTGAAGTGCTCCCCATCACGCTCATCCTCACTGTGTCTGTGCTCTGCAGCCAGCTGCTGCTCCTGGGCTCTGGGCTGCCACTCAGCTGGGCAGGTGCACACAAGTGGCTTCCTGCTGGCTCTCAGCCAGGGTCTCACAGTCCTCTTCCTACACTCAGTAACATGGTCCAAGCGGAGCTGAAAGGAAATCAGCAACTAGTCAAGCCTACCCTGCCCCCATGGCCAATCACCTGCAGGCCCTGGACATGGCATGCCCCTTGTACTTGGACTAGTCAGGTGGTGGTGACTGTTCTTCAACGACTGAGACGAGTTTGGTAGGGGATGTAGGGGAGGCAGAAAGCACTAGAGCAAGACAGCTAGAAGACAACAACTTGACCAGGACCTTTGGGTGTACAGAGCTATGAAATCCAAGAATATTCTTGGGTTTCCACCTAAATAGCAAAAGAAAAAAATCAACTCTAGCACAAGTTTCTTTTAAGAATCCCCTGTCTTCACTTATGGGCACAGACCCAGTCACCACAATGTACTGAGGAGCCAGCAGAGCCCAACCTGGCGCCATAGACCAGCAGGGAAGAAGGAATGGAGACCAATGACAACAAAACTTCTCCTGTTCCCTGGAGGAGTCACCTCCATGTTATTCCCCACATCACCATCCTAACAGCATCTCTCCGCAGCACTGATCACTACTGAGCTCACCTCTGTGGCAGGCCCAAGCCCCATTCCCCGCATCAGCAGGCCAACTGCTCTGTGCTTCCGTCTTAACATTCTCCCCCTGTTAACACCACTAGCAAAGCCTCACCACCTGCCTCTCAATCCCTCTACTTGCTACGCCACAGTCAATAGTGGATCTGGCAAGAGTGGCAGGATTCAAAAGCAATAGAGTCAAGGTGACAGGGCACTGTGCTGGAGCCAGAGATTCAAAGGTAAGAGTCCAAGATCATTTTGAAAATAAGCAAACCAGTTAGGGAGCTGGAGGCAAAGAGAATAGCTGCAGAGTGGCCCCATCCTGCTGTGAGCAGACACCTACTTGGAAGAGCAATTCCTGTTCTGAGGCACAGTTGCCTGGAGCTGAGCAGACTGAAGGTCTGGCTCTGTATGTGGCTTGAGAGATCAGAAATTAGTGGTGGGGAAAAGCTCAGCAACTATTTGTTCTGGCCTCTTCAGGGAACCAATCGCAGTGATACAAATGGCTCTACCACCCTATGAACCCTAACTCAGCCCTAGAAATTCCAGAATGGGGAGCAGAGAACTCACATTCAACTGCATTCTTAGATGGATTAGCCTAAATCATGCTTGGCACCCTGTGTGCTGGAAAGGAGGAGCTGAGAAAGACTGGAAAGTTGCTTTTCTAACTCTATAGAAAAATAGTAGTTCTCTAAGAATACAAGATGCCAGAATCCTCAACAGAACAAAAACGTGATCATTTTACTTCACAGTTTCGTTTGTTTTTTGCAGTACTGAGGCTTGAACTCAGGGCCTACACCTTGAGCCACTCTGCCAGTCCTTTTTTTGTGATGAGTTTTTTTCGAGAGGGTCTCTCGGACTATTTGCCTGGGCTGGCTTTGAACCACAATCCTCTTAATCTCTGCCTCCTGAGTAGCTAGGATTTTAGGCGTGAGTCATCAACACCCAGTTTAAAGACTTCTTAAAGGCTGGTGGTGTGGCTTAAGTAGTAGAGAGCCTGCCTAGTAAGCTTCAGGTCCTGAGGTCAAAGCCCAGTACTGGGGGAAAAAAAATCCCATTCTAATCACAAAGTTTAAAGAAATCTTAGGAAATGACTTTTACAACCCTCCCATTTCACACATAAAAACAGTAAGGCCCAAATGGTTCAAGTGACCTAAAAGCACAGCCAGTTATTTACTTTCAGAGGCCACATTAGAACCCAGGTCTAGTGATTCCGCATCCATCCTGCTCTCCAAGTAGTTATCATCTTATCTTCAGAAACAATCCCCTAGGAGTACTTATCATCATAGAAAAAGCAAAAACAAAAACAGATAATGCCACATATTTAGATAGTTTAATACAATGCGTTAACATTTTCTGAACACCTGCTATGTAACCCAGCAGTATGCTAAGTGCTTTAGAGATGTTAGATATGCTAAATAATGAAATAACAGTTAATGCTTTCAAAACACCATGTCTCAGATTAAGACAAAGAATACTCGAGTTTTTACAAAGTAACCAAGACTTAGAGAAATAAATAACTTGCTTAAGGTTATGCAGCATGAAACAAAATAAGGGAGAAAGAAACAGTGCTCTCTGCAGCTATGACAGGTGACTCACCAGAGGCCCTGTCCCCACTACTCCCAGCATCAGGGCAGGAGCAGAGTGCTAAATGTAGTCAGTCATTCACAGAACATAGTTTAGATTTCAACTAATCTGAAGACAGATTGATACAAACTGTCTTCTGCTACTGCCCACTAGGAGAAAGATCACACTGTCTTCTGGCTTTCCCACACTGTGTTCTTGGGCAGATGTAGGCTGGTTGGCAAGGTATGGCTTCACTCAGACTATACCTGAACTCTGAACCTCCTGGGGCCAATGAAAAGAAGAAATTGGAGCTGGCAATTCTTGGGTCACATATTCTACTCACAGATGCTGGTCTCCCAACAGGTCACTTTGGTTTAACCTAAAGATGCCCTGGGCCTTTGTATATTGCAACAGCTTGAGCCTTCCTCACCGCTCTTTGGCAAGTTTTTACTGCTTTGATAGAAATAGGAACTACTGAAGAGTAAAAAAGAGAGATGTCACTGAGCGTGTTCATGCACACCTGTAATCCCAGCACTTGATACAGTGCTTGCCTAGCATGCCTAAGACTCTGGGTTCAATACCTAGCACTGCACAAAAAAGAAAAAAATACAAGGAAGATGTCTTCTGTGTGCAAATAAGAACATGTAGCATGAAAAGACCAGTGGAATAGATAAACAGATGCTAGAGAAGGAAGAAAGGTCCCAGTAACTGATTGGGTCCTCACATTGCTAGTTTTCTGATAAAATTCCTTGTGTGTGGGGTGCAAAGAATCCTCCTGGATGGCTGAATACAGCCAACCAAGATAGGAAAAACCCAACCCAGCAACAAAGCCTTCCTCTGACATGATTCAATTCTAGGAACCGAGCAGTAACTTTCTGAAAACACTACAGTGATCCAAATCCAATGGACTTGTCTGTCTCTGAGAGTGGTAGCCAAAAGGAAGAGCCCAGTTGTCCAGTTGTTTTACCAAAACTAGAACATAGTAGGGTACAAACAGCTGGTAAAAGTAAGTGACCCCCTTTTAAAAAGGTCACCTACTACACTAGATTATTTTAATTCCTACAAAAGGTATTGGTTTTCTGTAGAAAAATAATTTTGGGGGGGGCGGGGGGGTGTACTGCGGTTTAAACTCTTAAGTGTACAGTACATCTTGAGCCACTCCACCAGCCTATTTCTGTGATGGGGTTTTCGAGGTAGGGTCTCAGTGAACTACGTGCTAGGCTGGCTTCCAAATGAGATCCTACTGATCTCTGCTTCCTGAGTAGCTAGGATTACCGGTGCCGACTCTGTAGGAGTTTTTGCCTGCTGTGAATTGAACTCAACTAGGCAAGCCCCTTGCCACTGGGCTACATTACAACTCCAATCCCTCCTAAGAAAAGGGGCCACTGCAGGACCAACTATCACAAAAAGATTCCCTCAAAAAATATCTTGTGACTAAAATTCCTCAAAGTCGGAAGGCTTAGGGGCTCCTATTTAAAAAGAATTTGGTCAGCCGCCTAAACGCAAATGCAAGTTCAGGACTTCCAGGTAGATACCTGGGAGCATGTGGAAGGGAAGCCTGGACCACCTACTCTAGATGAGCTCTGACTGTCTTCCAAATGAACTCGTGGCGGGGCTCTAACCAAAGGCAACACTGTCCCACTGGGAGCGGGGTTCCCCGAGCACACTTCAGTCAGGACCCGGGGCAGTGCTGCCTTGACTTACCTCTGTGATTCAGCCAGGGCTAGGAAGAGCCAGGGCTAGGAAGATCTGCATCGCTCACCTTTTCTATGAAGGCAAAGAAAATGAGTTAGAAGTGTCTGATCACGCCAGCCTCCAGAACTCTGGTCTAAGGACCTGGATGAAGGGGACTTGGCGCCCAGGGCGTTCCCAGGCTCACGTCCTCCCGCCGGAATTTGCCCTTCGCCCTCCGCTCTTCCCTCTTCCATCACCCCTACCCTGTTTCTTTCCAGCTTTCCCCTTTCCTCCGCACGTGGCAACCCCATTACCTTGCGCTCGCACCTCAGACCTCTGTCCCCCACGCCGGGAGCAGCCCGCTCCACCCTTCCCCGCCTCTCTTTCCCAGCCCATTCACAGCTAGGGGGAGCCTCTCCACCTTAGCCCTCACCAAACCCGTCTCCGCCCCCACCTCCACCCACTCCCGGCCCACCTGCCGCGGCTCCACGCGTGGGTAGCCGGAGAGCCCGGCCCCCATTACCCGGCCGGGTGTCAGCGGGGTCCCGCCCCCTGCCCGCCCCAGCCTCCAGGCCGCCCATGTTTACTGAGGGCGGAAGGAGCTGCCCGAGCGACTGCCGAGGCGTGACCTCGGCGTGGGGAATGTAGAATGCTGGGGTGAAGAAGCCTGTAGTCGGCTCAGGAACGCTGAGTGGCGACCAAGGAGGCCTGAGCTAAAGGGAGAAATGTAGAGGAGGTGGATCTGCCTATCTCGAACGAGGACTGGGGCGCGCGAAGATTGCGGCTGACCTCCACGAGCACCAGCGCAGCCTGAACTGGGCAACTGGACCAAGCCGATTAAGCCACGCCCAGAGAGGCAGATTAGGGCACGGCTGGAGGCGGAGGTATGACGCGTGGGGGTGGGCCGCGCGCTGATCTCGCGAGCCTTCAGAAAGGCCGACGGCAGTGGGAAATGGCGTCTCGCGTTCGGGGCAGTCCTGGGAGCCTGTTGCGCTGGGCTGCCTCCCTACTCTTGGCTGTGGGCGTGGGAAGGGCTCTGGCGCTACCCGAGGTACCTTAGCAAATTGGAGGTCGGGCTGAAACGGGGTTGCTGACCAGCCTCGTTTCGCACTTGCCCACCTGCAGCTGTCCCCTTCCCAGACTGAAGCTCAGATATCGTCCTGGAAGCCTCCCGACCCCAATCCCAGCCGTAGTTTAGCCGGATCTCGCAGCTGAGTACTCACGTTTCCTGGGCCTCCGGCGCTTTCGCCCTGCCCACGTTCAAAGACCTTTGAAATTTGATCTCCTCGCTCCTTAACCTTTGTATAACTTAACTTAATGGTTCCCACTGATGAGCCTGCTGACTCTTCTACGGGCTGGCTGTCGTCGTAGTGCGGTGGTAGAGCTGTACTTTATGTGATGCTTGATGAGTTCTTTCTGTACCTGCAGACCCGCCAAACCGGGTCTGTCAGATGAAGAAGTCTCGAGAGGGCGTAATATATTCAAGTGGTCATCCTCAAAGATGATGACTTTGCCTGGGCGAGGGCTGGAACTGAAAATCTAGTGCGCTGATCTCACACCCAGCTGTAGGAGAAGAAATGGCCTCCTAGTCTAGCCTTGCAAGAGCCACCTCTGCTCTGTGTTAGAGGAATTCTGGGGAAGTTACTGGCAGTTAACTTTTCTTTCTTTTTCTTTCTTTCTTTCTCTCTCTCTCTCCTCTTTTCTTTTCTTTCTTTCCTTCCTTTTTTTTTTCTGGCGGTGCTGGAGTTTGGACTCGGACCAGGTCCCTAGTCCTCTTTTTGTTTTTTGCATTAGTTATTTTTCAGGTAGGATCTTCCGGTTTTGTCCCAACCGGCCCCAGATCGCGATCCTTCTACCTATGGCCTCCAGCGTAGCTGAGATCACAGACATACCATCACACCTGGCTTATTGATTGAGATGTGGTCACTAGCTCCCCTCTCACCCTGGAACCGAGATCCTCCTGATCTCTGTCTCCCAAGTAACTGGGATTACTGGCAGTTAACTCTTAATCCAGGTTATTTTCTTGGCTTTTCTTTCTAGAGTCCTAATAAGGCTTTCTGTCTCTTTCTTTTGCAGATATGCACCCAGTGTCCTGGAAGTGTGCAAAATTCGTCAAAAGTGGCTCTTTATTGTAAGCAGACATCAGAGCTAGTGCTGCACGCCCGCTGCTGCCTGAATCAGAAGGGCACCATCTTGGGGTGAGGGAGGAGAAGACATCCTTGGATACTAGAAAAGAATCCGCAGTCCAGCCTGGCCTGAATGAATGGCTTTGGGAATAAATATTGGTGCCTATCTGGAAGCATCTGCAGCATTCTCAAACTTTTAAATTTTGTATAGCATTTTGGCTAGGTAAACAATCCTGTGGTTCTTCCTGGAAAACACTGCTCAAAAGTCAGAGTTTTGCCTTTTTAAAAAGGCTTTTATGGGGCTGGAGGCCTGGCTCAAGGGGTAGGGCGCCTGCCTCTCCAGCGTGAAACCCTTAGTTCAAATCCCCAAAAAAGGCTTTTATGGCATTTTATCTTATTTTTGGTAAAACTGGAGTTTGAACTCCAGGCTTCTTACTTGTAAAGCAGGTGCTGTGTTTGAGCCATCCCTCCTTATGGCATAATTTTTAAAAAGAGTTGTTTTTTTTTTTGTTTTGTTTTTTTGCAGTACTGGGGTTTGAACTCAGGGCCTATACCTTGAGCCACTCCACCAGCCCTTTTTTGAGATAGGGTTTTGGCAAGTATTTTCTCTGGCTGGCCTTGAACCAAAATCCTCCTAATCTCTGCTTCCTGAGTAGTTAGGATTGCAGATGTGAGCCACCAGCACCTGGCTAAAAGAGCTTTATTCCTTTGTTTTGTTTTGTTTTTGCTGTACTAAGGTTTAAACACAGGGCCTTACACTTGCTAGTCAGGTGCTCTAGCACTTGAGCCACTCCACCAGCTGTTTTTCATTGGGTATTTTCAAGATAGGGTCTCACAAACTATTTGCCTGGGCTGGCTTCAAGTTGCAACTTTCCTGATCTTTGCCTCCTGAATAGTTAGGATTACAGGCGTGAGCCACCAGTGCCCTTCTTTTGTTTATTATCAAGTCTGGATTATTTGCTGTGTGTCTCCAGGAAATTCCTTCTTTATCCTGCAAGACACTGCTGATGGGGCTTTTCTTCCTTTTTTGATAAATTCATGTTTATCTTTGGGGCAGATTGCTTTTTTTTGTCATTCCTTGGCCTGAGTGCCTTCTTCCCTTTACACTCTTGAGAATCCATCTATTCTTGATGGCTTCGATTGTAATCATTGTGCAGGTATCTCTCAAAACTAGATGTCTTTGGGCTTTGACTTCTCCAAGCTCCAAGTATATGTGGATACATTCTTCCTGGTTGTACCCCCACTTCAAATTCAAAATGTCATGGCTTACTTCCATTCTCCTCTTTCCCTAGTCTACCTAAATACTTCTCTCTATTAAACTTCCTCAAAATAAAATTTTTTTCATTATCACCCTCTTGTTTTAACACTGTAACTGTTGCCCTCAGGATAAAGTTAGAACCATGAACTAGCATGACCAGTCCCAACTCACTTTTCCAACATTATTCCAGTTACTTGTCCACTCATACCTTGCATAAGGTCTGGTTCCAGCCAGACTTGCCCCCAAAGGCATTCCACTTTTGTTTTTCAGGCCTTTATCCATACCTCCACCAAATCAGAAGATACCCACTCCCCACCCCCCACCCCCACCCCAGTACTGAGGTTTGAACTCAGAACCTACAGCTTGAACAACTCCACCAACCCTTTTTTGTGATGGGATTTTTTTCAAGATAGGAACAATTCCCCAGGGCTGGCTTTAAGCCCTGATCGTCCTGATCTCTGCCTCTTGAGTAGCTAGGATTACAGATGTGAGCCACCAGGTGTGGCAGGAGATATGCTTTCTTGAACATCTTCTGTGAATGCTTCTATTACTAAATCCTCAGAGTAACACCTTTTCCCCCTATAATGCTTAATGCTTATACCACTTGGTAAGTTTTTTTTTTTTAATATTATCATAGTTTAATGTTTAAATTGGTTTTGGTTCTGGTGGTGGTTGTTCCTCTACTACATTGTAAGCTTCTTGAAGGCTAAGCTACTAAATTATACATGTATTTTATACTCCCCAATTTTTGCAATTTGTGAGAACTCAGTAAATATTTGTAGAATAAAAAAATGAACAGCAATAGATATAAAAGAAAAAGTACTTATTCATGGTCTTCAGTGTATAGGAGTTTACAAACAGTCTGTGATAGAAAATGCACTTGGATGGGCCAGGGGTGTGGCCCAGGTGGTAGAACGCCTGCCTAGCAATCTCAAGGCTCTGAGTTCAACCACCTGTACTGAGAGACAGAGAGAATGCACTTGGAAAAAACTATGCAATTTGCACTTTTTTCATTTAAACTTCCTCTGTGGATCTGAGAATCATAAAAGGAGATTCATCAATCTAGATGAGACAAAATTTCTTCCAGTATATGTACAAGGCATAGGTACACTGATTAGAACAGTGTGGCCCAATAGAATGATGATGGAAATGTTCCATACCTGTACTGATCTACACAACACAGTAACCATTAGTGTGGTTACAGTATTTCATATACACTTGAAATTTGACTAGGGCAAATGAAACATTGAATTTTTTAGGTTAAATTAAGTTTAAGTAGCTACGGTAGCTAGTGTTTACTCTGTTGGATAATACATGATTACTATGTCTATCACAGCACCTCATTTATGGTTCTGAACACAGTTGTATTTAGTATTAGCTGGAATGGAGGTGGCATGATCAAATATAAACCTTGACACATAGTTACATGAATTACTTTATTTCCTCAGGGTAGATCTCCAGAACTGTTCTCTGAAGGATCCTGGTCCAAACTTTCCTCAGGCACATACTGCTGTTATCATGTAAGTGGTTAGGTACTGTCCTGCCCAAAAGGTAAAAATGGTGAAGTGCTGATAGGAAAGTCTTTGGGGATGGACTCTTATAAAGGTGGATGAATATTAATGTCTGAACTTGGACAGCTCAGGATAAGGAGTGGATTAACAGTTCAGGAAAGTGTGTGAACAGTATGTGTTTTGCAGAGACCTGCAAACAAATCCCCTCAAGGATGACTTGGCCAACACCTTCAGTGGCTTTACCCAGCTTCAGACTCTGTGAGTAATAGGGTGGGGGAAAGCGAATCAAAGAGGGGCATTGTTATAAGCGCAGCAACTTTGGGCTGCATGTTGTGTGTGTGTGCTGGAGACAGAGCCCAGGCCTAGCCCCTCTGGCTGCACATTATTACCACCTGTGTTGTCTTCAGGGTACTGCCACAAGATGCCGGATGTCCTGGAGGTATTAATGCCTGGAACAACATTATCTATTATGTAGACAGCCAGATCTGCCAAGGGCAAAAGGACCTTTGCAATAGCACCAGAGACTCAGGTATGCGGTCTTACCTTTGCTCTTCTGGGAACTTCCTTTCCTCCCTTATATTCTCTACTTTAGATAAGAAAGATAAAGAGTCTGGGGCTCTATCCCCTTGGAAAGAAAAGGCCTTAAAATTTATTCCTGTTATGTTCTGTTTTAATCACTTTTTCCTCTATTTTTGACCTAGGAATGATTGAGAGAATTTTAAGTTGAGGCAGACATTTGAGAAATATACCTAATGAGGTTTAGTGACGATTTCTATTCCTTTCTGGCTCCCAGAAATGTGTCCTGAGAATGGATCTTGTGCACCCAATGGTCCCGGTCTCTTACAGTGTGTTTGTGTGGATGGCTTCCATGGATACAAGTGTATGCGCCAGGTGAGGGATTAGACCTTAGTAGGGATGAGAGGAATGGGTAGGGTATGAAAGGAGAGCCTCAAAACAAGGAGCCAGTCACACCGAGGAGGAAACTGTAGGGGAATTGCCCAAGATGAGAGGATGAGTTACTAGGAAAGTACTAGGTGTTGCAATGCAGCCCTCTGTATAATACTATGACTTTTTTTTTTTTTTTCCTGTGAATCACAGGGCTCCTTCTCACTGCTTACGTTTTTCGGGATTCTGGGATCCATCACACTATCCATCTCCATTCTGCTTTGGGGAACCCAACGCCGAAAAGCCAAGGCTTCATAAACCACATAGGGCTTCCTACTGATCTGAGACCACCCTGCTCTTTCACAGCCCAGCCAAGGAGATTTGCTTCCATGACAGGAATCAATGGCCAGCGGATCAAGGCTGAGCTGCTACTGGAAGGAAGATGAAAAATCGCACCACTTTGGAGTGTTGTGGACACTCTAGGTTAGGAGTGGACTAGTACCAGTTCCCATTTGTGCTGTTGACTGCAATAAACTTTATCTTCGTTTTCCGGGAAAGGCGCCCTGCTTTTGCGTGTTGCTTGCTTGGGGGCTGCTTTGGGGCGGTCGGGTTTTTCAGGTCCCCCGGGTTAGGCGCGGCTCACACTTCGCCGGCCCGCCCGTGGCCCCGCCCTCGTGGCCCCGCCCCGTACGTGCCCCGCCCCGTGGCTCCGCCCCTCACGCTGCCGGCTGCCCGCGCCGCCGCAGTCCGGCCGCCGAGCGCGCCAGGGGCTCTTGCCTGCTGCGCCGCCTCCTCTCCCGCGCGCCGCGCAGCCAGCCACGTGGACGACTCCGGCGCGCTGTACTCGCCTGTTCTAGGGGGGCTTACAGCGCCTCCCGCGTCTCTGAGCTCGCCCCCGCCTCAGCTCCGTCCCCATGGCCACCTTGGTGTTGGAGGACGGGTCGGTGCTGCGGGGCCGGCCCTTCGGGGCCGCCGTGTCGACTGCTGGGGAAGTGGGTAAGCAAGCCGGGCCGGCTGCCGACCTCATCCCACTATGATACCCCTCTCCGCCCGACCTGCACTGCCCAGACCCTGCCTGCACACCCTCTGTCCCCCACTCGGTGGCTCCGGCCTCAGCCCCTTTCATCCCTCACCACCAGGGCAGCCTTCACTGGGGTGTATTCCGCACCGGGCAGCGTTGCGAAGGGTGTCCTTGCCCGAGCCCAGCCCTGCCTCTTTCTGCAGTGTTCCAAACCGGCATGGTCGGCTATCCCGAGGCCCTCACTGACCCTTCCTACAAAGCACAAATCTTAGTGCTGACATACCCTCTGATCGGCAACTACGGCATCCCCCCAGAAGAAGTGGACGAGTTTGGCCTCAGCAAGGTAGCCACACCCAGTGCTTTCTATACATTCCTTTTCACATCAGCAGTGAAGTATTGGTGAAGTGATCACATTGACACCTTGCTAGGCATCCTGGAGAGAACAAAGATACCCGCTAAAGTGATGAGTACTAAGACAAGAAGGCTGTGGTTAGGGGTTGTACAGCACCTTGAGAGGCATCCGGTGCTGGCAGCCCTAGGAGTAGCACTATTATTGTGTCTGGAGCAAAGAAAATGGCAAAATGTTTGAGGAACAGTTCTCCAAAGTGCTAGGAATGCAGAAGTAATGAGAAAAAGTCTGTAGTGGGCACTGAGGGCTTTGAAAGCCAAACCAGAGTCTGGGCGTAATTTCGTAAGGAACCAGTAAAGGTTTTGTTGCAGCAGAGTCATGTGAGCAAAGCAGTGCTTTAGGATTACATAAATTAGTGGGAAAGGGACTGGAAACAAGGGTCATATTCTTTCTTCCAAGTGACAGTGGGTGTCACTTGGCTGACACCAAAACTAGTGACATTAGCTAATATCTTCTGTACTCTACGTTACCTTGTCTTGTTTTCTGCTTTTGGACATTTAAGTTACCTTCTGAAAGATCAAGTTTAAAAAAAAAGGCAGTAAAAAGTGGAAGTCATCATAGCCCAATTTCAGTATTTTTCAAGACATGCGTTGCCCTGAATCCAGGCTTTAATTCTTAATTCTTAATTTGCCTTCCTAGTCACCCTGACACTGGGAAAAGAAAGCTCTGGGTAAGGGACACTAATTATTATTTCTGGAAAGGACCCTTCATCTTAAATTTTATTTTTTTTATTTTTGGTGGGATGGATTTGAACTCAGGGCTTTGCAATTACAAAGCAAGCACTCCATCACTTAAGCCATAACTCTAGTCCATTTTGCACTGGTTAGTTTGGAGATGGGGGGGTCTCTCAAACTGTTTGCCCAGGCTGGCCTCAAATCATGATCCTCCCATTCAGCCTCTCAAACAGCTAGGATTACAGATGTGAATCACTGCGCTTGACTCATAAACCTTTAAATACATAGCATTCTAATTTACAATGTAGTATCTTGTGAATTTTAGTACCATGTCAGTTTCGTCATCTCTGACAAAATTGAGTTTATAAAACTGCAAAACCGAGATTGGTGGGACCAGGATAAGACCTCCTAGAGCCACTAGCCCAACACTGGTGCTTCTGTGGCATATTGGCTGTACATGCACTTGCACGTGTATGGGTTACTCCACCTGGCCTGGGGAGATTCTGCCAAACATCCTTACGATCCCAGAAGAGCAGAGCAGTCTCAACATTCTATCAGCCCTCATCTTCCTTTAACCCTTTCTCTGCTAAGCTGAATGTAACTTCTTTGATCGTGTTTTGTTGTCCAGGCTGGCCTCAAACTTGTCTGTTTGTCCTGCCTTAGCCTCCCAAGTGCTAGAACTGGGATAACAAGTGTACCACATGTCTGGGCTTTGAATGTAATTTAAATAAGTCAGTCCCCCCCATATAAACTTCCTGTTCTCTGTTTAGTTATTAAATGTTTGTTTATTGAGTAACAAATTTGTTATCTCATTAAAATAATAACTTCAAATGAAGTTGGAAGTTAATATAATCATATCTAATATTGTACCTTTGAGCTTTTTAAAAAATTTTTTTAGTAACGTATCATATACCTCTTATTATACTTCTTATTGTACTCTGTAATTAATATCTTGTTTATATATTGTTCATTTCTGGCTCCCTAAGTTGGATATTAATATTGTGAAGAGAGGGACCTTTTCTTGCTCACTGCAACATTTATTAGAATGCTTTCACCTAGTGACTGATATTATGTACTAGGTGTCTTACTGTTGTAAGAGATATAAATACATATTCACAATACAATGTAAGTAGCAAGAAAGATGGGAATAAGCATTAGATGAGTTCTTAGAAGGAGACATAAGGTGCATTGGGAGTATGGATACATTGACAGAAAAGGGGATCACAATTTTGGATGAAGGAAAAGGGAAATTGTCATTTTGGTTATCAGTCAGATAGCCTGGGCACATGTGTTCAGTGTTTCCAATAGGGCAGAGCACAGTTAGTAAAGGGACTACCTGCAAAAGCACAAAGTGCTTGGTGTATCAAAGGAAGAACAGGCTATTCAGTGTGGTTGAGTTGGGGGAAATGTTTGGGGAGGTGGTTGGCCCTGGGCTCCTCATAATCTCTTCTTTCCATCTGTAGTGGTTTGAATCCTCGGAGATCCATGTGGCAGGACTAGTTGTAGGAGAATGCTGCTCCACGCCCAGCCACTGGAGTGCCTCGTGCACCCTGCATGAGTGGCTGCAGCAGCATGCCATCCCTGGTCTGCAAGGTATGATAGCAAGCACCGGGGTGTCTGGGCAGAACACAGTGTGCCTAGATGGAGAGAGTAAGGTTTCTGAAGTCTCTGGGAACCTGTCTAAGGTTGTGATAGAAGGAGTGTGGGACTTGAGAAAGAAATTGAATCATTGCTCAGAGGAAGATTTACCAGCATACAAAGGAAAGGATGGTAAAATAAACTTGCAGACAACTGCTATCACCTCTTGATGATTTGAAGCATATCTTTGTTCTTTTTTTTTGGTGGAACTCAGGGCCTCATGCTTGCTAGGCAGGTGCTGTACCACTTGAGTCACTCTGCCAGCCCTGTTTTGTTTTGGGTATTTTCATGATAGGGTCCCACAGACTATTTGCCCAGGCTGGCTTTGAACTGCCATCCTCCTGGTCTGCCTCTGAAGTAGCTAAAATTACAGAAATGAGCCACCAGTGCTCAGCTTGAAGCAACTCTTGAATATTAGCTCATTTTATCTACAGTAGTGCAATTGCTATGAAAAAGGAACATTTTTTAAAACATCACAAATACCACTAGCATACGCTTTAAAAATTAATTCCTTGTATGCAGGCAATGTTGAAATTTTCCTGTTACATACTTTTTTTTTTTTTTTAATCTGTTTATTTGAACGTTGCTCTAAACAAGGTTGGTAAGTTGCATTTGATTGGTATGTCTCTTAAATATAACATATGGACATTATAACCTAGTTGATGAAAATAGGTCTTTTTTCCTTAGAAGGAGTCTCTTTTTTTTTTTTTTTTTCCTACTGGGAATTAAATTTAGGTTCTCCACTTGAGCCACACTCCCAGTCCTTTTTGTTTTTAAGTTTGTTTTTCAGATGTGGTCTCCTCCTAACTTTGCCTTGGCTGATCTTAGACTACAGTCCTTCTACCTCCACTTCCCTAGTCGCTAAGGGTGACCATTGTGCACCACCACGCCTGACAGTCTGCATTCTCTTGATGATATTTCTGTAGTGTCACTTAGCATGTTCTTTTTCCCCATGGAATTTTTTTTTCTTTTTTTTTTTATAATGGATCAATCTAGAGTCATAGTTCAATTCAGATGTAATATTTTGGGCAAGAATACTTCCTGGTACTGCCCTTCCATCAGAATGCCCCAGGATTTTGATGTCTGTTAAACAGCTGTGTGTGACTAAGGGCCCTGGAATGGAAGTGCCCCTAGAAGTCTAACCTCACAGATGACCGAGTTGGGGTAGTGTGATTTTTGAGGCTGTGCTATTTTGACAGGCGTGGATACTCGGGAGCTGACTAAGAAGTTGCGGGAACAAGGGTCTCTGCTAGGGAAGCTTGTCCAGAATGGGACAGAGCCTTCAGACCTGCCATTCTTGGATCCCAATGCCCGCCCCTTGGTGCCAGAGGTCTCCATTAAGGTACAGAGGGAGAGTAGGAGAGTTTTGTAAGCAGCATGGTAATTATTTCCTGCTCACAGTTGGGGTAAACATTTAAAAAAATTAGGGGGCCTGGAAGGTAGGGGTTTGTGTGGGCATCTTACATCTGCTGATCGTAGCAGCCAACTGTTGTGTTTCATTCCTCAGACTCCCCGGGTGTTCAATGCAGGGGGTGCCCCTCGGATCCTTGCTTTGGACTGTGGCCTCAAGTATAATCAGATCCGATGTCTCTGCCAGCGTGGGGCTCAGGTCACTGTGGTCCCCTGGGACTATACATTAGACAGCCAGGGTGAGTAGCTGGGGCCTGTCCAGGGCCTCAGACTAGCAGCTTGGGTGGAAGATCTGTCCCTCAGTCTGGTTGATGAAAGTCAGTAGGAAGGAGTTTCAGGAAGGAAGGTGGAGACCAGGACTCCTGCTCACGTGCTCAGGTCTGTGGGTGTGTCTCTTCTTGAAATCCTGTTTTTTATATCATCTTTTCTGCCCACTCTAGAGTATGATGGTCTCTTCCTAAGTAATGGCCCTGGTGATCCTGCCTCCTATCCTAATGTGGTATCCTCACTGAGCTGTGTCTTATCTGAGCCTAATGCCCGACCTGTCTTTGGTATCTGCCTGGGACACCAGCTGTTGGCCTTAGCCATTGGGGCCAAGACTTATAAGATGAGGTGGGTCTTGTAAGGAGAGGAAGACACCCCTACTTGGGACACAGGAGAGGAGTGGGGTGTTTTGGGAATTAGAATAGTGTGGAAACAGGAGAGGGGTAGTAAGAATTGTGAGCTGGGTTTGGTTAGGAAGAGACCATGAGACAGGCCTGTGCCTTAGCATGCTTTCATCTTCAGATACGGAAACCGTGGCCATAACCAGCCCTGTTTGCTGGTGGGCTCTGGGCGCTGCTTTTTGACATCCCAGAACCACGGATTTGCTGTGGAAGCAGACTCACTGCCAGCAGGCTGGGCTCCTCTATTCACCAATGCCAATGATGGCTCCAATGAAGGCATTGTACACGACAGCCTGCCCTTCTTCAGGTAAGCCTGGGCAATGCTGCAGAGTGTCTGGGGTCTGTGCAGGTTTGATTCCTGGTGGGTTGGGGACATTGAAGATGGGTAAATAAGGTGCAGCAGTAGATCTGAGGCCTCTCTACCCTCCTCCTGCCTCTGAGGCTGCTGGTGCATATCAGTGACGGGATGATTTTCATCATCCAATCTCTTCAACAGTGTCCAGTTTCACCCAGAGCACCGAGCTGGCCCTTCAGATATGGAACTACTTTTTGATATTTTTCTGGAAACAGTGAGAGAGACTGCATCTGGGAACCCTGGGGGCCAGACAGGTAATCTCCTGAGTAGAACTGGGTTGTGGATCTAAGAACAAAGTTGGCTCTGGGATGGTCATAAGATGGACATGTCCTGGAAATGCCTGTGTTTGGGAGGTTAAGGGAAGGGTGGGAAGACAACCAAGCCCAACTGGTGTATGCTGCTCTATTGAAAGGAACTCAGAGTCATGAGTCCTGAGTTCTCATCCTCTCTCTGCCACTCATTACTTAATGATTTTCTCTGAACTCTTCTGAAAGTGAGGAGATTAATTCAGTTGGTCTGTTGGTCCCACTGTCTTTCTTTGCCTCCATAGTCCGAGAGCGGCTGGCTGAGCGCCTCTGTCCTCCTGGGATTCCCACCCCTGGCTCTGGGCTTCCACCACCACGAAAGGTTCTGATCCTAGGCTCAGGGGGTCTCTCCATTGGCCAAGCTGGAGAGTTTGACTACTCAGGCTCTCAGGTAAGCACCTTCTGGGTGTGTGACCAGCAGGAGTAGATGGAGTTTTAAGGAGAAGTACTGAAATGAAACCAGGAGGTCTGGAGGTTTACAGATAAGATAGAAAAGAATAGAAGTCAGTTATTAGAGACAGAGAGTACAGCAAGGGAAAGAGTAAGGGAGGAATGCTAGCCTAAGACTATCAGTAGAGACTGATAGGCCATTCTTAATTCTCTTAGGCGATTAAAGCCCTGAAGGAGGAGAACATTCAGACGTTGCTGATCAACCCCAATATTGCCACAGTGCAGACCTCTCAAGGGCTGGCTGACAAAGTCTATTTCCTTCCTATAACACCTCACTATGTAACCCAGGTACAACTGGGGTTAAGGTGGACTGAGGAGGGGACTTTTGGTGGGCAGGGGCTTTCAGTGGTCACTCTGGGTTTCTAATCTGCTTTGATTCACTCTCTACCCTTAAGGTCTTTAAGCCTATGATTCTCTACTGCCTCAGGTGATACGTAATGAACGTCCAGATGGGGTGTTACTGACCTTTGGGGGCCAGACAGCCCTGAACTGTGGCGTGGAGCTAACCAAGGCCGGGGTGTTAGCTCGGTATGGGGTCCGGGTCCTGGGTACACCAGTGGAGACCATTGAGCTGACTGAGGACCGACGTGCCTTTGCTGCCCGAATGGCAGAGATCGGAGAGCATGTGGCCCCTAGTGAGGCAGCAAATTCTCTTGAACAGGTTTGAAAGGTGGTCGGGCAGAAGTAGAATAGTGTCATTTTCTTTTCATCTTGTTTTCTTTTCATCCAGGCACCTTCTGGGCAGCAGGAAATGACCAGTTTCATTTCTTTCGTTCATTGCAGGCTCAGGCAGCCGCTGAGCGACTAGGCTACCCTGTGTTAGTGCGTGCAGCCTTTGCCCTGGGTGGTCTAGGCTCTGGCTTTGCCTCCACCAAAGAGGAGCTCTCAACTCTTGTGGCCCCTGCTTTTGCCCATACCAGCCAGGTGCTGATAGATAAGTCCCTGAAAGGCTGGAAGGAGATTGAGTATGAGGTGGTGAGAGATGCCTATGGCAACTGTGTGACGGTGAGTAATGGAGAAGGGAGTAACTTCTGCAGTCTGAGCTTTTGGATGAGCAGAGACTGGGATGGAGGGTTTGGTGTCCCTTGCACCCAGCTTAGGCACAGCCTCAGATATACCAGGACCTGGGGATGCAACCCCCTACCTCTTGTGCCCTCCTCCCTTGTGACCTCCATAACCCTCTCCTCCCCTCTTCATAGGTGTGTAATATGGAGAACTTGGACCCACTGGGCATCCACACTGGAGAGTCCATAGTGGTGGCTCCAAGTCAGACTCTGAATGATAGAGAGTACCAGCTCCTACGACAGACAGCTATCAAGGTGACCCAGCACCTGGGAATCATTGGGGAGTGCAATGTTCAATATGCCTTGAACCCGGAGTCAGAGCAGGTGAGGCTTGGACGCTGGAGCTAATACTGTAGCTATTATCTCCTGTCTTCGATAATCTTCAAGAGGTCTTTTGGCCCTGCAGACCTTGGAGTGGAAGCCAAGATCATCTTTAGGGGGGCCTTTTCACTCTTTGTCCCTATGGGGAGGTCTTATTTTCTCACCCCTCTGAGATCTCTCCTAGGCAGGAGTTTCTATGCCAGGTAACTGGTGACTCATTTTTCTCTGTTCACCCTCTTTGCAGTATTATATCATCGAAGTGAATGCCAGGCTCTCCCGCAGCTCTGCCTTGGCCAGTAAGGCCACAGGCTATCCACTAGCCTATGTAGCAGCCAAGCTAGCTTTGGGCATTCCCCTGCCTGAGCTCAGGTACAAGGTTGGGGGGAAGGATCTATTGTTAAAGGGGTGGGGAGCTGAAGAAATATTCATGGGACAAGGACTGTGAAAAGAACATTGGTTTGGGTTTGTGGGGATGTAGAGAACTATCAGGAGGCTCACCTTGTATGTTCCTCTCTGTCCTTACCTGTTGGCCCCCAGAAACTCTGTTACGGGGGGAACAGCAGCATTTGAACCCAGCCTGGACTACTGTGTGGTGAAGATTCCTCGCTGGGACCTCAGCAAGTTTCTGCGTGTCAGCACAAAGATTGGGAGCTGCATGAAGAGTGTTGGTGAGCATCACACACCAAGTTACCCCTACAGGGTCCCACCAGGCCCTAGAGTCTAGAATATGAAAGTTCCCTGTCATAGCCTGAGAGACCCCTAGTTCCTTTATTAGCAGCAGCTTAGAAGCATTATTTCTCAAGAGCTAACAGGGACATTTTAAACGAAGATGGTCATCCACCTTCCTCATCAGGAACAGTGGTCAAAGTCATCTGGAAATCTGTGTTGGAGTACTATCTCTGGGATAGAATGTTAGCATCAGACTATCTCATCTCTCTTATTTAAAAAATGAGTAAACTGAGGTATCAACAGGAGGAAAGTGACTGGGTTGTGGGCCTGTAAAGGAATAGTGGTCCCAGCCAAGAACTGAAAACTAGACCCAACTCTAGCTTACAGGCCCTTTGTTTACCATGTCACCTGTCCATGAGACCAGTTCAAGAAGCCACCCATAACATTTCATCCTCATGACATTTTGCCTATAGCATCATCAATCACTAGGTTGTTTAACGACAGTAACGTTTTATTCATTGATAGATTAAATACTTAACATTTTAGGGACATGATTACTGCCAATTTCCCGTCATCCCTTCTAAATCTAAGTCTGTGTTGGCAGCCATTTTTAGCCTAGGTCCTCCTCTGGCACTTTGTGCTTCAGTCACTAATGTTAAGATCAGCACAGTATGTCAGAGTTGATTATTATAAAAGGGAACTTTATCAGTAAATGTGAGTAGAGGTACAGTCATTTACCATGCTGTGGTAGAGTGGGTTGGAATTGAATTAATGTCCTTTTTTTTGTGGTGTCTGTTTACTTGCCTGAGACGTCTTAAAACATTTTGGCCAAGACAAGAGTGTATGTGTACTAGATCAGTGTCCCCAGCTTAACATGTAAGACCATTTTGTTGTGTGCCAAATTTCCACTTAGAGCAGTAGTAGCCTTTAAACAAGTTAAGTCTGAGCTTGACTATTATTTCACAATTTTTAGAAATCCTACAAGACTGCCAAGTTGTTCCTTCTGGAGATGGATTACTGTTATATGAAAATTATAATAAACATGGGAATGAAGCCATAATTAAATTATGGCTACAAGAAGTGGATTGAAACTAGGACAATCAAAGATTGACTCCTAACTAAAACATTTAAATGTTTTACATCTACTCAAGTGTTCTCAAAATGTGATCTCTGGTAACTTTAAAATTTTTATGCATTTATTTGTTTAGGTGGTACTGGGGTTTGAACTCAGGGCCTCATGCTTGTTAGGCAGGCACTCTACTACTTGAGCCACTCCCCCAATGCATTAAAATGTTTGTTACACAAATAAGATGCACAAGCTGGTTATGGTGGCATGCCTATAATCCCTGGGAGGCTGAAGCAGGAGAATAATGAGTTTGAGGCTAGCCTGGGCTACATAATGAGACCCTGCTTCAAAAACCTAAAATAAAATGAAACAAAAAGGAAAAAAAGAAAGATACATGAGTCCTTGAAAAATGAGAAAAGGTCACTTAACAAAGAAAACTAGTCACCTATAATCTTGTCATCACACAGAATTAGATTAATTTGGGTATATACGATTCCAGGACTGTCCTAGGCATACATGTATGTGTGTGTTGGGTTTAATAAATCCTCAAATGAAGACTTTTACAGTGTAACCACAGTACAAAGAAATTTAAAAAGACTGGAGGTATGGCTCAAGTGATAGAACTTCTGCTTTGCAAAGTTCAAACCCCAGTTCCACACACATACACATACAAGTAAGTAAATAAAAATAATGTTTGCCAGGCGCTGGTGGCTCACACCTGTAATCCTAGCTACTTGAGGCAGAGATTAGGAGGAACTTGGTTCAAGCCAGTCCAGGCACATAGTTTGCAAAATCCTATCTCAAAAAAAACCCATCACAAAAAGGTCTGGCAGAGTGGCTCAAGATGAAAGCCCTGAGTTCAAGCCCCAGTACCAAAAAAAAAAAGAAAGATTAAAATAATTTACACACTACTTTCTTAACATTAATATCATCATCTTTTTTAAGGATGTGAATGTTAGAGTTGTAAATAGAAAAAATTGCTATGAATACTTGAAGACCCTAGGGTAAATGTCCAGAGGACATGAATGAAACTTTACAGAACAGGAAATCATAATCAAACCTGGGAGAAAAACATTTCCTCTCATTAGTAAATAGAAATCTAGTTCAAATAAAATTTTTTTGGTTTATTAGCAAATATTATCTAAAATTGTGCTCACTTTGTTTTTTATTTTTATTTTTTACTTTTATGCCCACTTCTTAGAAGGCTAATTAAACTTATACTTTGTATTGTAAAGCACGAAACTCCTATGAAGCAATTAGTACTTGCCAAGGGCTGTAAAATACCTTACTTATTAACTTTGCACTTCTAGAAATTTGTTCTAATGAGATAACCCAAAACACAGAAATCAACACAGCCTCACTTATATTGATCAATATTAAAAGCTAACTGTCCTTCAGTAAATGAGCAGTTAAATTATGGAGAATCATACAATTTTATAATTGACACACAACATTGTGGGCTGTGGGGAAGTGCTTCTTTTGTTCTGGGTTTGTTGTTTTTTTTTGTTTTGTTTGGTTTTTTTTGGTAAATAGTTTATTGAGATAAAAAAGGAGCAAACAGTAGAGCTCCCAGAGCTGAGAAGGGTCCCAAGAGAGGGTACCAGGACAAGGGAGAGGAGTGCTTTCGATGCGGAAAAAGGATGAAAATTATATGTATACTTAATTATACATAAAACATGCAAAAAGTATCCCAGGAAATAAAACTCAAATGCTTTTTAAAAATGCAATTGGCTCTAGATGGATTGAAAGTGTAGTAGGATAATTTATCCAAACTTTTCAAAGGTGTAAAGGGCAAGACAAATTCGAGATAGAATCATCATGGTGTGAATAAAGCGAGCCGAGTAACTGGACAACCAAAAGATTCAGACCACTATGGTAAACTGTAACAAATTCCAGTATCCACGTGCCCATTTTTGGCATATTCCTTATTTACTGGTGGCATAAAGTCAGTGCTCATCCATGAAATCAGTTGAAGAGCTGGAGGTTTGAGATTTCTTAGCAAAACGCCATGAATCCCACCACCAGAAGGTTTGACTGCACAAACCTGGATGCGGTGAATAGTTCCCTGCCCTGCCCCTCTCAGTCCTTCCATCCTGTTCCTCCAGGTGAAGTCATGGGCATCGGACGTTCATTTGAAGAGGCTTTCCAGAAGGCCCTGCGCATGGTAGATGAGAACTGCATGGGCTTTGATCACACAGTGAAGCCAGTCAGCGATGTGGTAAGCAGCTCCCCTTCCCAGCAGCAACCCTAATATGTACCGTGCTCCTCCGTGCCCCCAGGCCATGAGCTTGCTTTTTTTTTGTTTTGCTTTTACTGGTTTTTTTTTTTTTTTTTTTTTGGTGGTACTGGGGTTTTGAACTCAGGGCCTCATGTTCACGAGGCAAGCGCTCTTCCACCTCAGCCCACCATAAGCTTATTGACAGTAACACTAGCGATAGTCATTGGATGTTTGCTGTGGTTTCACTTTGCTAAGAATTTCAAGGTGTATATCATTTATCATTATGTCTGATTAGACTTGTTTTTGCAGATAAGGAAACTGAGGTTTAGAGTGATTATAGATGTTGCTTGCAGCCACACAGCCAGTGAGAGGCAGAGCCAGAGTCTGTATCCAGATTTTTGGGGTTGCAGGGCCTGAGCTATGGTGATCAGTTTCCCTTGAAACAATGACACAGTCTAGCTCTCGGACTTTCAGAGATGCTCATGTGACAATAGGCTAGGAATTTTCTTTTCTTTTTGAGATGTGGTCTTGCTATATTGTCAGACTGACTGGTCTCAAACTAGTGCCTTGAAGTGATCCTCCAACCTCAGCTTCCTGAGTGCTGCAATTATAGGCAGGCACTACCATACCTAGTTGGTTGGAACTGTCTTTGTTGAACACTCAGACCTCTCCTACCTCTGCACAGTCCTGCATCCATCTGTCTGTGCTTTCCCCATCAGGAGTTGGAGACACCAACAGATAAACGGATCTTTGTGGTGGCCGCTGCTCTACGGGCTGGTTATTCGGTGGAGCGCCTATACGAACTCACACGCATCGACTGCTGGTTCCTGCACCGAATGAAGCGCATCGTGGCCCATGCCCAGCTGCTGGAACAACACCGAGGACAGCCTCTTCCCCCAGACCTGCTGCACCAGGCCAAGTGCCTTGGCTTCTCAGACAAGCAGATTGCCCTTGCAGTTCTGAGGTCAGAGACGGTAGTGAGGATGTGGGACAGAGAGCCTTTGTGCCAAGAAGGGCCACAGGGGGCGATGGGGACCTTCATCCCTAGGGTATTTTCCTCTCTAGTTCTTGTGCTGGGACCTCACCCCTTTGCAGTATCCATCCCACTCCCAGGGTCTGTGTTTCTCTTCTCCTCCTTTAGCACAGAACTGGCTGTTCGCAAGCTGCGTCAGGAATTGGGGATCTGCCCAGCAGTAAAACAGATTGACACAGTTGCAGCTGAGTGGCCAGCCCAGACAAACTACTTGTATCTGACATACTGGGGCAACACCCATGACCTCACCTTTCAAACACCACATGTCCTGGTCCTGGGCTCTGGTGTCTACCGTATTGGCTCCAGTGTTGAGTTTGATTGGTGTGCTGTAGGCTGCATCCAGCAGCTGAGAAAGGTCTGAGTCCATCTTTCTCTGCTATTCTGTTCAGCTCTGTCAGTTGCCTGTCCTCCTACACCTGACCCTGGTGTTTCTTATTAATTGTAACACCTTACTTCTGTCATAGAGCTTTGGGTTGAGGCCCTTCTTAGGCTGTGTCGGACCCCACACAGTGCCCGAGTCTCCTCCTCAGCGCTTTGCCTACTTCACCTCAATGCAGTTGCATGGGAAGCCTGACTGACTTTGACTTAGTTTCTCCATGCTTTTCCTCCTAATTACTACTGCATCCCTTTTCCTGTGGCAGATGGGGTATAAGACCATTATGGTAAACTACAACCCAGAGACAGTCAGCACCGATTATGATATGTGTGACCGACTCTACTTTGACGAGATCTCTTTTGAGGTGAGAAGGATGAGTACTGCTCAGGATCCAGGTGTCCAAGATCAAGTGGGACTGACTGGTTGACCCAAGATTTTTTGGCACTCACTGGGGAAGAGGGAAGCAGTGAGCAAGTTTGGCTCCCTTACCCCTTTTGTTGCCACTGTTTGTTTCTCCCCTGGCACTGCAGGCGGTGATGGACATCTATGAGTTAGAAAACCCTGAAGGTGTAATCCTCTCCATGGGTGGGCAACTGCCCAACAACATGGCCATGGCGTTGCATCGGCAGCAGTGCCGGGTGCTGGGCACCTCCCCTGAAGCCATTGACTCAGCTGAGAACCGATTCAAGTTCTCCCGGCTCCTTGACACCATTGGTATCAGCCAGCCTCAGTGGAGGGAGCTCAGTGACCTAGAGGTGGGCTGGAGCCTGGTGGGAGGCCTAGAGGATGGATGATGTTTATAGGTGAGTGCAACTTATCCTACTAAGCTCCTTGCTTCCCTTAGTCTGCTCATCAGTTCTGCCAGACCGTGGGGTATCCTTGTGTGGTACGCCCCTCCTATGTGCTGAGTGGTGCTGCTATGAATGTGGCCTACACTGATGGGGACCTGGAACGCTTCCTGAGCAATGCAGCAGCTGTCTCCAAGGAGCACCCAGTGGTTATCTCCAAGTTCATCCAGGAAGCTAAGGTGAGCAGCCTCCCAACCCTGGAGGAGACTGTGTGTCCCTGTAGAATCATCGATACATCATGGGCGGGATGGGTTGTATCAGTGTTGTTAGAACATCCTAGAGTAAGAGCTTGACCTTTGTTCTACATCACACTGCTTGTGCCCTCCACTAGGAGATTGATGTGGATGCTGTGGCCTGTGATGGTGTGGTGGCAGCCATCGCCATCTCCGAGCACGTAGAGAATGCAGGTGTACATTCAGGTGATGCCACATTGGTGACCCCCCCACAAGACATCACCCCCAAAACTCTGGAGCGGATCAAAGCCATTGTGCATGCTGTGGGCCAGGAGCTCCAGGTCATGGGACCCTTCAATCTGCAGCTCATTGCCAAGGTAATGCACAAGGAAAGCACCATCAACCTGCAGTTCCTCCATGCTCTCCTGGCTCCAGTGGCAAAGCCCTACAATGTCTTCTCTTCTCATCAGTGTAGGCAGTGAAGCTGGGGGAAAGGTTCATAGTTATAGCCTATAGTTTTGTCAGGGCTGAGCCAACCAAGGTAGGTGGAGCAGTGTCAGCAGCCCCAGGCTACCCAAGGGCTGACCCCATGCTTCTTTGCCCAGGACGACCAGCTGAAAGTTATTGAATGCAACGTGCGTGTCTCTCGCTCCTTCCCCTTTGTCTCCAAGACACTAGGTGTTGACCTAGTAGCCTTGGCCACACGGGTCATCATGGGAGAGAAGGTGGAACCTGTGGGGCTCATGACTGGTTCTGGAGTTGTGGGGGTAAAGGTAAGGAGGACTGGAACCTTTGGGCTTAGCAGACAAATGGAGGGAGAGAACCCAATCAGCAGATAAACCCATACCTTGTAAGGCATTGCCTGACCATATGATAATGAAATGGTCATTGTCCCATACTAGCTTACTCTCTAGGAATGGGAAGCAAGAGAAATCAGGTCCCAAAATAGCTTTAACAGTTTATGTTAAACCTACATGGCTAAGATACAACCACATGGGCAAAGAATTTAGAGACAGAATGCCACTTCCCAAAGGGGTGCTCTGGGAAGGCTTGGGAGAAGTGATGGTATTGTCTCAAGGATGCTTAGAACATTGAATTTGCAGAGTTCCTTGGGGAAGTATTCGAAGGCCAAGGAACAGCCAAAGTAGAATTGGTAGAGTCCTGCAGCAGGGAAAGCCAACCCTACTGTATAGGTGCAGTAAGGACAAGGGACTGCATCTGCCTCTCCTGGTGACTGTTGGCCCTCTTTTTCCTCCTGCTCCCTTAGGTGCCTCAGTTCTCCTTCTCCCGCTTGGCGGGTGCTGATGTGGTATTAGGTGTGGAGATGACCAGCACTGGGGAGGTTGCTGGCTTTGGGGAGAGCCGTTGTGAGGCCTACCTCAAGGCCATGCTAAGCACTGGCTTTAAGATCCCCAAGAAAAACATCCTGCTCACCATTGGCAGCTATAAGGTACCAGAATTGCCAGAATCAGAGAGGGCCACCTGGGGAGGTAAGGGGCTAGATGGCCTCAGCTCCCTGGGCCAGAGCTGACCTGGAACTGGAAGACAGATAAATATACTCTGTTCATGCTTTTGCTTGGTTTTAGAACAAAAGTGAGCTGCTCCCAACTGTGCGGCTGCTGGAGAGCCTGGGCTACAGCCTCTATGCCAGTCTGGGCACAGCTGACTTCTACACGGAGCATGGTGTCAAGGTACAGCTCCTGAAGCCATCTAACCTACCTTCCTCAGGCCCAAGGGACTCTCTTCCCTCACTTCTGTGATTATGTTTGTATTGATAAGGGGGGCGGGTGTGTGTGTGTGTGTGTGTGTGTGTGTGTGTGTGTGTGTGTGTGTGTGCTCTGTGTAAAGCAAGGAAGATATGCAGGAAAGCAAAGAGAAAGAAGTTTTTACAATCTCTCCTATGCTCTGTTCTGTTGTTTTTCCTCCCCATATTTCATCTATATGTACATGTGTGAGCTCGAACTCCTCATAGTCCTTGGCAACCTGTCTTCTTCCACGGTGTAGATATCTTTCCTGTTCAGAAGTACACCTTGCCAATAGCAGAGAGGGACCCCCTGCTCATAGCCTGTGGGTCCTCACTGGGCCAGTTCCTCTCCCTTTAGGCTGGCTTTTCTGACCCCTGCCAGGCTCAGGTTGGTCCTGACCTTGGTTCTGGACTGGCAGGTAACAGCTGTAGACTGGCACTTTGAGGAGGCCGTGGATGGCGAATGCCCACCACAGAGGAGCATCTTGGAGCAACTGGCTGAGAATCATTTTGAACTAGTGATTAATCTGTCAATGCGTGGGGCTGGGGGCCGGCGTCTCTCTTCCTTTGTCACCAAGGGCTATCGTACCCGACGCCTGGCTGCTGACTTCTCTGTGCCTCTCATCATTGATATCAAGTGCACCAAACTCTTTGTGGAGGTAACAGACCTGGGTACTAGAAGAGAGAGTGTCTGTGCTGGGAGGAGGGGAAATGAGCGTGCTCTGGGGTTGGGAAATGTCAGTGTGAAACAGCTACACCAATGGCAGGGCATCACAGCTGCAGAGGGAGAGGTGGGTATGTAGAGGGAGGCGTATAGTTTGTAGGAAAATGTATTCCCTACCTACAGCTTTCAGGGTCACCCTCCCGGTAAATCAACACTGACTCCCCACTTGTAGGCTCTGGGGCAGATCGGGCCAGCACCTCCTCTGAAGGTACATGTAGACTGCATGACCTCCCAGAAGCTGGTTCGACTACCTGGTAAGTGCATCTTTGGGAGACTGGTAACATCTGACATAGAGATCCTTGGGTGGCAAACATGGCACCCAAACATGGCAGAGTCCATGACTACCTTGGACTGCACAGAGACTATGAAGGCCCTAGAATCTGTCTTGCTTGGGGCTCTTTCATTCTTCAGTCTTTGGTGTCCTTGACTGAGGGGCTTGTATAACCTCTTTGTGTCTTGTTTCTGAATGTCCCTCTAATCTTGCTGTCCTCATATTCTCCAAGGATTGATTGATGTTCACGTGCACCTGCGGGAACCAGGTGGGACACACAAGGAGGATTTTACCTCAGGAACAGCTGCTGCCCTGGCCGGGGGTGTCACCATGGTTTGTGCTATGCCTAATACCCGGCCCCCCATCATCGATGCCCCTGCTCTGGCCCTTGCCCAGAAGGTAAGCCACTGTAACCTTGCTTCCCTGAGCCCTTTTCCTTCTACCCTCCCTGTGGGCTCAGGCTTCTGGTGCCAGGCCAGGCTGTGGGCATGGATGCCAATGAGTCTTCATGTATTCTCTCTAGCTGGCGGAGGCTGGTGCCCGCTGTGACTTTGCCCTCTTCCTTGGGGCCTCACCTGAAAATGCAGGGACTCTGGGTACTGTGGCTGGGTCTGCAGCAGGACTGAAGCTCTACCTCAATGAGACCTTCTCTGAGCTGCGGCTGGACAGTGTGGCCCAGTGGATGGAGGTGGGAAATGTGCCTGTGGCAAGAGACCACAAGATGCTGTCTTTTGGCCTGAGGGCCCCGCCTACCTGGGCTGTCAGCAGTGAAGACTGGGGGGAGGGTAGGTCGTTCTGGGGCATCTGGCTCTAATGAGCACAGGATCAAAGGCTCTGTATACTTCCTCATCAGTTCTCTTTGTCCCCAGCACTTTGAAACATGGCCATCACACCTCCCCATTGTGGTCCATGCAGAGAAGCAGACTGTCGCTGCCGTCCTCATGGTGGCTCAGCTGACCCAGCGCTCAGTGCACATATGTCATGTGGCACGGAAGGAGGAGGTGAGAGTGCACTGGAGGTCTTGGTGCCTTTGTCACTTTCCCAGGAATGCCAGAGGTCAGGGAAATCCTTGGGGGCAGGAGAGGACAGAAGGAAAGCCTTGGGGCAGCACCCTCTGCACATTTGGCCCATAATGCTCCAAGAAAGGGTGCTGGTCATGGGGACTTTGTTGGGCAGGGCATATGGAGGCCTCCTCTGGATCTCCCTGCGCTCTTCCTAGATCCTACTGATTAAAGCTGCAAAGGCGCAGGGGCTGCCAGTGACCTGTGAGGTGGCACCACATCACCTGTTCCTAAGCCAAGATGACCTGGAGCGACTTGGGCATGGAAAGGGGGATGTCCGGCCTAAGCTTGGCTCCCGCCAGGATGTGGAAGCCCTATGGGAGAATATGGCTGTCATTGACTGCTTTGCCTCAGACCATGGTGAGATGGCCCATGGTGCCCCTCCTCTGTCTAGCCAGGCTTGTGCCCAGCTCCACCTGTGGAGTAGCCCTAGCAAGAAAACGAAGCCAGGTCAGGACTCTGGGCTTCATAAGGATGGTGTCTGGGGCTGGAGGTGTGGCTAAAGTGGTAAAGTGCCTACCTAATGAGTGTGTGAACCTCTGAGTTCAAACCCTAATGCTGCCACACACACACACACACAAAAAAAACGCGGTATCTTGACCCCAGTCTCTAATTCAGTACCTCATCTAAGATAGGTGCTTGACATACTGGTTGAAAGGATGAATGAGCAAATGCATGCAAGTGTAAATGACAGAATACCTAGGCAGAGGTGAGGTCCCCAGAGGAAAGCAGCCTTTTGCCTAGTGTCCAGTTTCCAGAAAGAAATGAGATTGGGCTTCGTAGTAAGGATGATATGGTTACTAATAGTACAGTCCTGTGGCCTGTGTGACACCCCTCCCCCAATGTAGAGGTAATTGGTCCTACCCCCCACTCACCAGGGTAATGGCTATCATTATTCCAGCCCCCCACACCTTGGAGGAGAAGTGTGGGTCCCATCCTCCACCCGGCTTCCCGGGGCTGGAGACCATGCTGCCACTGCTGCTGACGGCTGTGAGTGAGGGCAGGCTCACTCTGGACGACCTGCTGCAGCGACTGCACCACGGTCCTCGGCGGATCTTCCACCTGCCCCCACAGGAGGACACCTATGTGGAGGTTTGGTGACGAGGGCCTTGGGGACTTACAGCGTGGGGGCTCTTCCTACCTGACCTTTGCCTTGCATAACCTACAACCCTCTTGACAGGTGGATCTGGAGCATGAGTGGACAATCCCCAGCCACATGCCCTTCTCCAAGGCACACTGGACACCCTTCGAAGGGCAGAAGGTGAAAGGCACTGTCCGCCGTGTAGTCTTGCGAGGAGAGGTTGCTTATATTGACGGTCAGGTACGTGTGAAGCTGCTGCTCAGTCTTAAGTAGTTATCTTATTTTCTTCCATGCTTAGTACAGCTACACAGTCTCACTGCCCCCCCTCCAACTTCTCTGTACCCCAGGTGACATTTTTCTTCTTTACTGGTATCCACCTGTTTAGGAGCCCAATTTTAGCACTGCTCCCTCATGCCCCTGCCTTCTGTCTGCAGGTGCTGGTGCCTCCAGGCTATGGACAGGATGTTCGGAAGTGGCCTCAGGGTGCTGTTCCCCAGCCCCCGCCCTCAGCCCCTGCCACCAGTGAGATAACCACGGTACCCACATGTCTAGGCTGGGGCTGGCCTGGATGGTGTGCCCCAGGGAGGACTAATAGCTTGAATGTCTTTTTATTGGTGGCTTAGGGGGCGGAAGGTTCTACACCATCTACCTCTCAGTCTGTTGCAGAATAGAGTTAACTCTCAGTTTAGAAGGCCACTGCTGAGAATCACTAGCCAAGTGTTACTCAGTTGGGTTCTAGCTGAGCCCTGTTGGCTGGGTCAGCGCACACCTTGAAGAAACCAGAGTGTCTACTGCCTGTTGACAACATGTTGAAAGGATGGAGCAGTGGGGAGGTGGTATAGAGTGGACTCCATGTGCACAAGGAGCCACTTGGCTTTTCCTGAGGGATTGAATGTGGCAGGATGTAAGGGATTGGGCCAGTCTGTTTTTAATATACTGAGCCAGTGTCTACTACAGACGCCCGAGAGGCCGCGCCGGGGCATCCCAGGTGTTCCTGATGGCCGCTTTCACCTGCCACCCCGAATCCACCGAGCCTCTGACCCAGGTCTGCCAGGTAAGGGGTCCATGTGGCAAAGGGGGTAGGGTTCCTCTGACTAAGAGATGCATAGGGATGGATGCTCTTCTATCCAGTGTCCAGGGTAGACCAGGGTTGAGGGTCCAGTTGCCCAGGAACTGATTCAGGCCCCTCCTCCCAGCACTCTTTTTTCCACTTACCCTGTCCTCTCCATTCCTTTGTCCTAGTCTAATCCACTGTGCCCTCCTTTGCCTAAATACCTCACCACAGTATGAGGAAGAACATTCCATGTGGCTTCTCACAATGCCTTCTTTTGTTGTGGGCAGCTATGTTCCTCCGCCCAGAAGCTTGGATCTCATGGGGCAGCCGAGCGTGGGGTAAATTTCGGTAGATGGTTGGTGTGAGTCTGGCTGTTCCTCTGCCTAGGATCCCTGTGCCAGCTGGGAAGGCCCTGGGAAGGCACCTCTGCTGCTATAGCACAGCCCGAAGGGAGTCCCACTTCCCTCCCAGCACTGTGTATCCCTTCTGTCCTCCTCTAACCTGCTGTAGCAACTGTGGTGTGAGATGGTTAACACAAGCACTGTGATCCAGAGTTCCTGGGAAAATGGGGCTTTCCACACCACATCCGCAGATTGACATCTGTCCTTTTTGCAGCTGAAGAGCCGAAGGAGAAATCCTCTCGGAAGGCAGTGGAGCCAGGTGAGAGTCCACCCTGACACACACACACCATGAGGACCACTGCAGTGTGATCTGGGTGGGGGAGTCCCTGACTAGCCACTTCTGCCCCATCCCTCACTGCAGAGCTGATGGGAACCCCTGATGGCACCTGCTACCCTCCACCACCAGTACCTAGACAGGCGTCACCACAGAACCTGGGGGCCCCTGGCCTGCTGCACCCTCAGACCTCACCCCTGCTGCACTCATTAGTGGGCCAACATATCCTCTCCGTCAAGCAGTTCACCAAGGATCAGGTGCCTAAGGGAGGGAGGGTGGAGATACCCAGAGCTTTGAGGATTTGGAGAGTGGGGGCCAGGATCTCTGGGGTCCGCTCAGTGTCTTTCCTGACTTGGGGTCTTTCTTAGATGTCTCATCTGTTCAATGTGGCACACACACTTCGGATGATGGTGCAGAAAGAGCGAAGCCTCGACATTCTCAAGGTTGGTGTGGGTTCTCACCATTACCTAACTGTGTCTCTCTTAGGGCAGAGCTGTGTAGTGGTCAGTATGTATTCCTGCCCCAGCCAGCAGATCTCTTGTATGCATCCAGACACTGCACTGTCTGTATCTTTGCCCTGTGCTGTGGAAGGTCATGCCATTCTCGACCTGCCCTTGTGGTTTTCCTCCTCATAGTGGTATTAAGCTGACATGGTGGCCTGGGCACCAGAGTGTCAACCTACATCTGGGGTCATCTGATCTGTACAAGGGTAGTCATGGGAAGAAGGCTGCTGTGTTTTCTCCTCTCTCAGGTCACTCAAACTCAGGAATGGCTTTTTGGAGGCAGAGCCTTTAGCTCAAGGTCAGACAGATGGTAGAAATTTCAAGGCTCTGACACATCACAGGGGAGGTTTGGGTAAAGAAGGGTCCTCTCAGCGGTCCCTGGTGTGAGGTAGCAAGTGTGCCCTGTGTGCTCCCCAAGGTGAACGCACACACGTACACCTTCCACCTTGTCCTTATCCCCAGGGGAAGGTCATGGCCTCCATGTTCTACGAAGTGAGCACACGGACCAGCAGCTCCTTTGCAGCGGCCATGGCCCGGCTCGGGGGTGCTGTTCTTAGCTTCTCTGAAGCTACATCCTCTGTCCAGAAGGGCGAATCCTTGGCTGACTCAGTGCAGACCATGAGCTGCTATGCTGATGTCGTTGTGCTCCGGCACCCCCAGCCTGGAGCAGTGGAGGTAAGGCCAGCCTGTGTACTAAGGTGTGGTTTATAAGGCTGGACCCAGGGGCATTAGCTCCTTTGTGCACAGTTTTTGTGACCGTAAGTGTTGGGTTGGGGTCCATGGGTGAGGGGACCCAGAAAGAGTGGAACTGAGGCAGGGAGGAACCTCTGAGATGCTGGAGACAATTCTTCCTTATTCCCATCTTCACAGCTAGCAGCCAAGCACTGCCGGAGGCCAGTGATCAACGCTGGGGATGGGGTTGGCGAGCACCCCACCCAAGCCCTGCTGGACATCTTCACCATCCGGGAGGAGCTGGGCACTGTCAACGGCATGACGGTGAGGGAGGCAGGAGGAGGTGTTCTCCAGCCCAGACCATGCTGCACCCAGGAGGCCCAGTCCTGGGGCCCAGGGCTTTGAGATGGCTGGAGGGGGCTCAGTCTGGGTCCCTCTGGTGATTGGGTTCCTTCCCTAGATCACCATGGTGGGTGACCTGAAACATGGACGCACGGTGCACTCCCTGGCCTGCCTGCTCACCCAATACCGTGTCAGCCTGCGCTACGTGGCACCTCCCAGCCTGCGCATGCCACCCAGCGTGTGGGCCTTTGTGGCTTCACGTGGCATCAAGCAGGTGAGACCCTTGCAGCCCAGCCTAGGCCAAGGGGGCCATGGGAGGGACAGTGAGAGCCCAGCAGTGCATTCCCCTTGCCTCTACCTCATACCCCAGGAGGAATTTGAGAGCATTGAGGAGGCACTGCCTGATACTGACGTGCTCTACATGACTCGAATCCAGAAGGAACGATTTGGTTCTGCCCAGGAATATGAAACTGTGAGTACCTGGCTTCAGGAAGAAGCCAAGGCTAGAGCTATAGGGCATCCAGACAAGAGGGTGGGAAGGCTGGGCACAGGCTGGGGATGAGCTGTAAGTCCCAGGCCCCTCAGTTGCCATAACTGCATGTGGGTGTGAAGGGGAGCCCAAGTTGTATCCTTTTTTTTTTTTACAGTACTGGGGCTTGAACTCAGGGCCCTACACCTTGAGCCACTCCACCAGTTTTTTTGTGATGGGTTTTTTCAAGATAGGGTCTTGTGAACTATATTCCCAGGCTGGCTTTAAACTGAGATCCTCCTGATTTCTGCCTCCTGAGTAGCTAGGATTATAGGCGTGAGCCACCAGCGCCTGGCCCAAGTTGCATTCTTGGTAGTTACCCTCCCAGCGGCATTAATGGGAACCCTACCTGCCTTGCAGTGCTTTGGTCAATTTATCCTCACTCCCCACATCATGACCCGCGCCAAGAAAAAGATGGTGGTGATGCACCCGATGCCCCGTGTCAACGAGATAAGGTGATGCTCCATCACAATTACAGGCTACTGTGGGGTCAGCCATAGGAAGGGGCCTTAATTTCACACAGGCCATCTGTGAGCTGCAAGGTAACTCTTTTTCTTCTCTTGCAGTGTGGAAGTGGACTCAGATCCCCGAGCTGCCTACTTCCGCCAGGCTGAGAATGGCATGTACATTCGCATGGCTCTGTTAGCCACTGTACTGGGCCGTTTCTAGGACCTGGCTTCAGCCCAGCTGCTAGGAAAGGAATCCTAGTGCCCCCCACGGGGGCAGCACACTTAGCAGACACTCTGGGGCGTCCAGGTAGCTCATGCACACATGGGGACCATGCTTCAGGCTCTGGACTGGAGCTCTCTAGGGAAGCAGCCTCAGGTACTGGGGCCCATCTCCATTCTTCCACTTCTGATCTGTACAGTTACTTTTCTACTGACTAATAAACAGCCGACTGCCTCAGTTCCTGCTTCCTCATAAGTACCATGGGCTTTAGCAGAGGTTGCCACTTGGGCCTCTGGCTGGTCTCCAGCCTACCTCAGTTAGGTTGCACTCCAAGTTCTGGCTGACAGCTTTGCCTTCTTCCCAAATGCTGTGACAAATGCTCAGGTCATGATGAAAGGAAGGCTGCACACTAGGTCCGGGCTGAGGTTTGTTGTCCTCCAGGCCCTTGCTCTTCTCTCCCCCCTGTTTCTGGTTAGTCCTCTCCCTCAGTGGCTGCCATCAAGTCCTCAGAACCTCCCCCAGGAGTTCTCCAGCTGCCATCGCTGTGAGGAGGCCCTCCTGCTGTCCCTAGGCAGAGGGCGCTTTGTCTTGGAGGCCCTGGGTTAGGGTAGGGTAGAGTACAGCTCATGTGTCTGCAGGCTCACCCTGAGTGGAGCAGCCATTCCAGCCCATGAGCTTCAGTGCCATTAAAGGAATCTTTTTTTGGGGTGGGACTGGGTTTGAACTCAGGGCTTCACACTTGCAAAACAGGTGCTCTACTGCTTGAGCCACGCCTCCAGGCCATTTTGCTCTGCCTTCTTTGAAGATGGGGTCTTGTGAACTATCTGCCTGGAATAGTCTCTAACTGATTTTCTCAGCCTTACAGGTCACTAGGATTATAGGCATGAGCCGCTGGTGTACAGCTCGAGGAATCTCATTTCTTGGTCCAACAGACTTGACACACTCAGTACAAAGTACCACGTGCAATGACAGTATAGGATAAATAATGTAACTTTCCCTCTGTTCGGGCTGTGTAGCCTAGGCTGGCCTCAAACTTAAGATCCTCTTTCCTTAGCCTCCCAAATGCTGGGTTTTATCCTGGCTTGTCCTTGAGTTTTAGCACTGGGTTGTAAGGTATAAACCTACCTTACACTGACACCTGATGGTCCAAACTGCTTGGGCACCATTCAGGAAAAACCTATTTAACCCAGATAGCTAGTGTGTTACAGGGATGGGAAAGGAAAAGGACCTCACTTTTTTTGAAAAATCTCAGCAAAGTGGCTGAGAGAGGTTGGTGAGTGACTTTCCAGATAACTAGCCACAAACCTGCTTGACTTTAAACCCACCTTTCTTTTAAAAAAGGAAAGATCATTTCTGGCTTTAAAGGTATCCAAAACAAGAAAGGAGAGACCTGCTTACAAATCTAAGCAGCTGGAGGACAAGGCTAATGCATTCTGTGTGGAACTAGCTTTTGGAGATCAACAATAGGAGTTAAAGCCTGGTGGAGCAGGGTTGAAGCTGGTTCCTGAAGAAGGTTGAATCTCATGTATAAAAGAGGACTGGAAATTGTGTGTCTGCTATACACCTGGCCCCGCTTAGTGATACGGTTGAGAGTGACAGAGCAAACCGTGGTGTCTGGGTGTCAATTCCAACAGAAGTACTAATCCACGACTCGACACTCTTTGAAGGGTAAGAGTAGGGATAATGCTTTGTCCTTTAGCCCCTGCTCATGTGCGCTCTCCAAAGCCTACTTCTAGCCAGTTCTCCCTCAGCTTCCTGAAGGACTTGGTGGGTTGGAAAACAGTATTTATAGAACTCTCCTGTTTCTTTCCAGGACATTAGTCTTCCTGCTTAAACTATATGCACAAGTTAGATTATTTTCCCAAGTACTTGAGAATATGGGAATCTGTGGCAGACCTTGGAGCTGAGTCCCCGAGGGGAAGCAGCACTTGCTGCCCAGCTGCACACATTCTCAATTGCTAAGTAGTGGGAGGTGTTCCTGCCCTGCTCCTTTCTTTGGCTTCCCTAATCATAACACAGCTCTAAATTGAATAAATTTTCCCTACAACCAGAAGTTAGGTCTTATTACATTGGGAAATAAAATGAAAGAAGCTATCAGCAAGGAACAAAAACACTTCTTAATAAAACCCATGCCTAAGTCCTTTCCACATCCATCAAGAAACAACTTCATGGGTTCCATGTGGTTATCATTAGCTGTATGAAGTTAGCTTCTTGGTCTTGGGTAGAATAGCCCAAGATACTCGATACTGAAGAGATTTGATCTATTTATTTTTTCCAAACTTCTATGTGTCCTAACTGCTTTGCAAATATTAACATTCCTTTGATGCTTTTGGATGAACCCTTTAAGTCTATCTCCACCCCACTCTGATGAAAGAAGCTGACCTACTGTTTGCTTGTTATCCCTGCAAAGCCATTTTCCCTCCAGCTTGTGAAGGAGAAGAATCTTCTCAAAACCAATAGTCTATATGGAGTTTTTCTCCTACATCCTGTCCCCAACTGTCATCACTAACTGGCTACCACCATGGCCAAGTCAGTGAGCCTGAGGGCTATAAATTGAAAGGGTAAAGTTTGGACTTCCAGTGTAAAGTTAATAGGGTGTATTGGCTGAAGGAAGTGTGGAGCAGAGATGAGGCCAGGATGGAATGAGCCACTCAGAGAAGTGGGGTAAAGGAGCCACTGCACCATCAGGGAGGCAGTTGTTGCAATAAATGCAGATGGTAAGTGAAGGAGGTCTGGATTAAGGGACAGGGATGGATGTCATGAAATAGTAAAGAGAGAAGAAAGAAAAATGATCCCACTGTGTAGGGGCTTCAGATTGGGAGAATGAGCCAGGCACAATGGCTCACGCCTGTAATCCTAGCTACTTGGGAGGCTGAGAACTGGAGGATTGTTTGATGCCAGCCCAGGCGGACAACTCAAGCAGTAGAGTGCCTGCCTTGCAATTGTGGAGCCTTGAGTTCAAACCCCAATCCCACAAAAAAAAAAGAGTGAGTACTCAGTCCATTTTTCATGACTATTACAAAATACCTGAAGCTGGGTAACCTTATAAAGAAAGGTTTACTTAAGCTCACAGTTTCGAAGGTTCAAGAGCCTGCACCCAATGATGGTCTTGCTAACAGAGCCCAAGGTGGCATGGGACAGCACATGGCAAAATATATGTAGCACACATATGTGTAACTTCTAGTTTATTATAAAAGCAATAGGATTCAATCATGGGGGTTCCACCCTGATAAATTACTTCTCAAAGGCCCACCTCAAAACACCTTAAATCTAATCTCTACCCTCTTAATACTTCACAATGGAGATTAAATTTCAGCAGGTGAGTCCTGCCAAACACTATACCCAAATCATAGCCAGCACAGATGAAGACAGACCAGAGAGCTGGTATGGGCAGGGGAGGATGGGTTTTGTTTGGGTGTGACACTCAGGAGCTATGGGCCAGTTTTGTGGAGATGTCTCACTGATAATGGAGCAGGGTGTGAAGAGAGAAACACGTGGTGTTTGCTTGTAATGACATAAGTGCCAGGAGAACAGGGACCTCATTCACTAGTGTCTGGAATGATGCACACACAGTGGATGTTCATTTACTGACTGAAGCATCTACATAGAGGTAGTGGGAGGTTTTAAATATTTACATTTGTATCAGCTCATGAGAATGGAAGCCAGGGGGAAATGGGCAGAGGACTGAAGTCTAGACCTCAAAAAGGGTGGGAAAAGAACTCAGAAGAAAGCCCTCCAAGAGACCGCACATCTAGATGTGGAGTAGGGAGGAATATAGAACCGGATCCTATCATAGGCCAGAGTGGAGGCTGAGGTGAGGGTGTCACAAAGTTGTCACTCTGATGTTTTGTGGTAGGCAGGTGGACACCAGGTCTGGGGTTGCTGAGGGACTGGTTTAGAAGTTGAGGTCATTTCCCATGAGACAAGGACAAAAGAGGTACTGGGACTGGGACCTGAAATTGCCTGGGAAAGTTGTGATGAGTCCACTGAACGTGAGTAAGTCACCAAGCAGGCTCCAGGGAAAGCCAGGCCTTGCAAATCCAAATCCATGTTGGGGCTAGGAGAGGCAGAGTCCAGGGCAGGCCCACGGAAAGGCTTGTCAGCCACTATGGAGGGCCTTAGAGAGGCACGTGCATGGTTACCATCAAATGTTTCTGCAGATGAGGAGGGACAGGTAGGGACAGCATGTTAAGAATCTGGTTTGTTGATCCATTGGTGAGAGTTGGGGACAGAGAGAATACAAAGAGTCTGTGTTGATCTGACAGCTGGAGATGGGCCTTTGGCTCTGCGTCCATCTGTTCACCATCCTTCCTCATTCATTCCTTCACCAGTGGCTTCCCTGAGCGCTCACCCAGCTGGGAGCCACAGGGCTGGGGAGGCAAGCCACCTTCCTTGAAGAAGAGTGCCAACCCACAGGGCTGTCTCCCCACTGTCATTGCTTTTCCCGGAAGTCCTGAGTGGACAGTCCTGGTCTGGCAAGTGAGTATAGTAGAAAGAAGCAGGGGTGATCTCTGGGTACTTAATGGTCAAGAAAAAGCAAGTTCACCATTGTAGAGTGTGAAACCTGTTCTTTTGGGGGGAAGCTTCACTGTCCTTTTTATTTCCTGGTTTTGGTTCCCTTTTGATTTTCCCCAGGTTTTTGGTTATAACCCTTTTAAAATTGATGGGCCCATCATGGTTGGGCCAAAGGGAAGCATTGAATGTTAGGGCTGTTTGGGTCAGGTCCTGTGAGTGAGCTTCCCCAGCCTGGAGCTGCTTGCTCTTCAGACAGAGCCTGAGGGTGGAACTGAAGGAGGGAGACACAGGCTCTGGCAACCTGGGCCCTTCCTTCCAATCACTGCCTGCCCTGGCAAACCGAGCCACTTTGTGGGATCATGGGTGATCACAGCTACTTCTGGGACCTCAGGCTTTTCTCCAGCAGGCCATGCCCAGCACCTCTTGGAAGATACTGACATGAGTGATGGGATGGGCTCGGGCCAGGGACATGAAGGTCAGTGAACTCCCCCAGTTGGGGGAAGAGTGGAAGAATCTTCCTGGAAGAGGGGCAGGGAGTCTCCTGACTCCCAGCCTGAAATTCCTTCCATACTCGGGGTGCCTTTGCTGCTTCTGTGGCGCCAGCCTCAGGGAGGCACTGCTTCCCCAACAGTCTGGCTCAGGGCAGCCACAGCGCCCTCTGCACATTAGTGTGCACGGAGGTCCCTGGGAATGTGGGAGGTGGCCACTGACTGCTTTATTAACCATCCTGTACTTCCTCCTGAGCCCAGACAGGCTGCTCCTGCTCTGCCGGGTCTCTGGCCTGTGCCTCTCAGACACAGTGTAGCCTTGTCTGGGGCTCCCCAAGGTGAGCAGCTCAGTGAGGAGGGCAGGGCCTGCCTCTCTGCCCAGATGTCTGGGCTCCAGTCTCTACAGCACAAGCCTCTGGGTCCAAACCCTCCAGATCTGGCTGTTCCATCTGGCCCCATGGTCTCCAGTCTCTCTTTTGAAGACTTCCAACTATGCTTTCAGCAAGACAATCTCTTCTCTCCTTCTTTCCACTTCATCATTGCTCCCACTACCCTCTCTGACTTATGATGCCCTCACCCTCCTCCCCAGTCAGTCAGCTGTGTAAAGAGCTGCCAGGGCTCTGATGGATGGGTCCTCCTCTTGCCTTGCTCTCCCTCCCACCTCCTCTCACCCAGCCCCTTCGGCTCACCTCTCCCCCCGCCCCATATACTTTATCACCAGGGAATTGCTCACAGAGGGAGGTACTTCTAGATAAGCCAGTGGAGGATGTGGGTTGGGGATAATAGGGAGGAGGAAGGCAGCTCCAGATAAGGGTTTCCTGGGTTCCTGGGAGGGAGTGCCAATGAATCAGGGAAAATGCTCCTGAGTCTGGCTTCCTGGTCCTTCCATCCTTCCCTGTTCCTGACAAATCATACCTGAAGGAGGGTGGGAAAGAGGGAATGACCAGGAAAAAGGGCCAGGGACTTCTCAACTCTTTGAGTCTCAACTCTGTGACAGCGGGTGCGTGTTTGCATGACCATGGGCAGTATCTCCATCTGTAAGGTGCCAGTACTGCTACCTCCCTCACAGCACCTTGCACAAAGTGTATGCACAATAAATGTTGGTTGGGACAGGGTGCTGGACCACCCTGTTCCCCTGAAATCTTTCCTTGCATTATGGGTTTGACCCCAAAGCTGTTTTTGTAGGTGCCCTCCAGATACAGGCACATTCACATGCAGTGTTGTGTAATCCTGTACTACTGTTAGGAAAGCTGAAGGGTGGGGAGACTAACAGTGACCAGAATTAGCAAAAGACAGCAGCGGAACAGAGGAGCCTGACCCCAGAGTCCCAGGACTGGGAGGACCAGCGTAGCAGGTGGCTGGGGAGCTGAGAATGGTTGCAGAAACTCACCTGGGCAAGTGCTTCCAGGGGTCTGGGGTGGGATGGCAGACTGGTTCCTGTTCCTGCCCCATGCCTGGCCAGGTGACCTTGGTAAGCCTTTTTCTCCATGAACCTCAGTTTCCTCTTCTTCATCTTATAGCATGTAGAACAGTAGACAGACTGGACACATGGGTTCTTTCTGTCCTGAATGTTTGGTTCCCTCCCCTGAATTGGGCATCTGGGATACTGGAAGCTTTCACAGGGTGATCATCTTGACCTCTTCTCCCCCGCCTTTCCTATTTCCCTACTCTTCCCCACCCCCCACCCTGTCGCCTAGGGACTGTAATCAATGAGACATAAAATGAGAATGTGTCAGAAACTAGCAAAGCATGGAGAGCAGCTGGGACAGCCTCCCGCTGCCTGCCCGAGTGGGTGGACCCCAGCCCTGCACTCCAGAGCCGGCCACCACACCATCCGCCAAGGGCTCAGCCTGGCCAGGCTCCCAGCTGGACATCAGTGAGGGAGCCTATTGTCAATGAGTCCAAAAGCCTCATCTTAAAAATGTCATGAAAGTCATGTGTATTGTCATGAAATGATGTGTCCAGGGTGCATTATGGTCATGAAAGCAACCTATGCTATTTCTCCTATAAAATAATCCTGTTTTTGTTATTGAGACGTGTTGGTATGTACACAAAAAGGTGGATGGACAGATCCGACACTGTGATTAGCAGTTACTTCTGGGAGTAAGGGGGGGAAAACACTCACTTTCTACTTTATATACTTCTTTGTTGAATCCTTAAAACAAGCATATATTGTTTTTATAATAAAAATAATTTTAGCCAGGTGCCGGTTGCTCATGCCTGTAATCCTAGCTACTCAGGAGGCAGAGATCAGGAGGATCAAGGTTCAAAGCCAGCCTGGGCAAATAGTTCTGTGAGACCTTATCTTGAAAAACCCTCACAAAAATAGTACTGGAGGAGTGGCTTAGGGTGAAGGCCCTGAGTTCAAGCCCCAATGCCTCAAAAAAAATTTTATAATAAAGATATTTCCATTATGGGAAGAAAGCCTCACAGAAACAAACAAGGGCTACTGAAAATACCCAATTTCTTTGCTTTGGGCTGGAATCATATCAACCCAGGGAGGGACAGCTAGTAAACTGCTGATCCAAAGCACTGGGTCTAACATCAAAACGCAAGAGTTTGCTTTTTAAAAAGACAGTCAAGTGGGCATGGTGGTAAAGACCCATAATCCCAGTCCTCAGGAGATGTGTTCCAGGCCAGCCTGGTTACATATCGAGACTATGTCTCTAATAAATAAATAACGGAGATAAACCAGTGTGGTAGCACACATCTGTAATCTGAGAGTTCAAGGCCAGCCTCAGTTACATGGCCAATGTGAGGCCCTGTCTCAAAAAAATAAAAATAAATCAACAGTCTCATTAAAATACTGGTTTGTAAGACCAAATCTTTATATATATATATATATATATATATATATATACAGTACTGGGGTTTGAATTTAGGGCCTCCCACTGACTAGGCAGGCACTCTACCACTTGAGGTACTCTACGAGCCCTCAAATATATGATTTTTAAGACAAAGGGGATTAAATGTAAAAGAAGCTGTTTGTATTCACATACAACCTACATCTGGACTCAGGGCTGCCCCCTCCCACGCGGCACCTTACATAGTGTGAGGACCAAACCTACTCCCTCAAAGAGACCCAGCTTCCCTCCAATCAGCAGAAGGATGTCCTGGCCTGCTAGAGCCTTTCAGTGTGAATGGCTCCATAGGAGCCTTTAGCCACTTGCCTTCCAGCTTTCTCCTGCAACCAAGCCTGGGCACATGGGGACTCTCCCTGAACCGAGGACCCAGGCTAGACCATGCTGTGAAATAGGGGGAGAAGAGGCAAGAGGCTTCTATCTGATAAGGGATCTGTGGATAGGAAGAATGGAGGGCTGGGAAGGGAAGGGACGCTGTGAGAGGTCACTCTAGTTGAGGGACTCTGTTGGTCCCAAATGACCACCTGAGGAGTCACATAGACCGAGAGATGCAGTTAGACACAAGTTTATTGGTGGAGCAGAGTCCTCCCTCTCCCTGGGATAGCCGAGGGCACAGCACCAACAGAGGGATGAACAGACAGACTTCCGAACGGACACATGGATGGAGCAGACTCATAAAGACCATAGCACAGCCACACAGGCAGAGACACAAAGGCCACAGCACCAAGAAACACACACACACACACACACACACAGAGCAAAACCACAGGGCTAGGACACATGGACAAAGTGCAGGCTTGGGGCCCCTGCATAGAGCGAGGCCATGTGGGGAGGGGGCCCCTGCTGACCTCCCCAGGCATAGGCACACCAGCAGCACACAGACAGGCAGATGCCCCCAGCCAGTCAGCCAGCCAGCCAGTCTGTCACACTGAGACACGGATTGCACAGAAAGGACTTGCTCAACTCAAGGACCGAGGGGCTTCCACATACCCCATGCCCCTGAACTGCTCACAGCTATTTACTTTGACTCCTGCCCCACTCCCCCACACACTTCGGTCTTGCCCACTGGGGCTGGGGCTGGGGCATTTGGCAGGTGGAAGAGGGAGGAGGGGTATGGGCCCAGTTCAGTTCCTTCTCTGTGATCAGGGAGGCAGGTGCTGATAGTTCAGGGCTGAGCCTGGGCCTGGCAGTGGGGTGAGGGCAGGGCTGTGGCTCAGGCTTGGGGGAGCTCCTGGCAGCGCAGGCACTGGTCCATCTCGGGCTGGTACTGCTCAACCTGCAGGGTACAGCTGGAGAATCCAAACCGGGAGTAGAGCCGGGATGAGGCTTCAGCCAGTACAGCTTCAGGGTCAGCTGTGGAGTCTGTGGGAAAGTGATAAGAGGCAGCCTCAGTCCCCAGGGAGTCAGGCACAGGCAGGGACTGTGATAAGGGGATGCATAGCCTCAAAGCTAGGCATGAATGGAGTGCTCACTTTTTTTTTTCTGTATCGTATGAACAGCGTAAAATTGCTAAAGGAAATGTCAGAGAGACTCACCCCTAATGAGCCAAGCTAACACACTGCACTGTTCCCAGTCTCTATTCTCTTCTGCCTCTGAGCATCAACATGCAGCTCGATGTACTAGCAGCCATACTACCCAGCTTTCCAGGACAATCCAGATGTCAAATTTTCTGCCCCATCATCCCTCTAGCATTACCATCAAATATCCCCACAAGTTATGATATTTTTGGCATTCAAATTGCATGCCTCTGATTGCTTCTTGCATCTGGAAGAAACTAAAAAATCCTTTGTCAGCTCATGAGTCACCATATATATTTGTAATAGTTGAATCATAATGTAGATATAATTTTATGTTCAGCTTTTTTTCTCAGCATTATACCATAAATATTTCCCCTTGTTGCCACACAGACTTCATAATCATCATTTTAAATAGCTCTGTGATACCCCACTGAGTGGAGGTGCCATAAGTTACCTAACTATGTCCCATCATCAGACATCTAACTACTAGTGATCTTTTAAAAGTTGCTGGTTCCCTATGCTACTTCAGAGAGGATGAAACCTCCCTCAAGGCCTTGTTGTCCCCAGTGTGTGTGTGTGTGTGTGTGTGTGTGTGTGTGTGTGTGAGAGAGAGAGAGAGAGAGAGAGAGAGAGAGAGATTAAAAAAAAACCAAAACAGCCGAGTGTGGTGGTGCATGCCTGCAATCCCAGCACTCAGGAGGCTTAGGCAGGAGGATTGTGAGTTTCAGGCCTGAGCTACCTAGAAAGACCCTGTCTCAAAAAAAAAAAAAATCTCAGTAATTCACATGTTGTGGTGAGGGGATGACTGGGAAGTTGCTGGTTGGGGCCAGTATGTACTCACCAATGGCCAAGTGTGCAGAGGCAACATGGTAAGTGAGCGTCAGGGCCCACAGGTGCAGCTCATGGGTTGCCCGGACTCCGGCACTGACAGCAGTGTATCCCGTACAGGTTCAAACCCCACACTGCGGGGGGTACCTACGACCAGGATCCAGCATGTGTTATTGCTGAAGTGCTCATGCCAGAGGCAGCCCTGCCAGACTCCAATCTCCCCATCCTGTACCTGCCCACCCTATTGACCCCCATGGTCTACCCTATGCCTCAATTATCCTTCTGGCAACAGGTCCTATGACCCAGCCCTCTTCAGAGAAGAGGGTGGCCCAGCGCTGGGGTGAGGTCCCAGAGAGCCCCAAGGGTGTGATCAGTGGTATCAGACTTACCTTCCATGAGAATTCGAAGAACATCTCGGAGGGTTGGGGCTGTAGATCCAAGGGCACAGATGGAGAAGAGGAAGGTGCTGATGGGGTCAGCTGCCTTATACTGAGGCTATAGAAAAGGAGACCCCTCAGCCCAGGAACCAGAGACCTTTCAGAGTAAGATCTAGGGACATCCTGACAAACAAGAACTGAGAGGACCCTAAGAATCCTGGGGAAGGAAAAAGGAATATGACCAGGAGTGGAAGAGGACTGGGGAGGTGGGAGTTATGGGGAAGGAGGCTGAGGATCTCAGGAGGAAGGGGCTGGGACACGGATGGGGAGGAAGGCTGGGACAGGCTGCTGCTGATACCTTGAAGTAGATGAGGACAGAGGCAGCCAGGACCCCAAGGCTCTGCAGGAGATCCCCCAGCACATGCACAAAGGCCGCCTGGACGCTGGTATTCCCCAGTGGTAGAGAGTCCCCAGACCCCTCCTCCAGCGGTGCATACTCTGCCCCCCTAGACCCATGGCTGTGGGAGGGCCCAGCCTGGTGCAGCACAAAGACCATTCTGAGGGGAAAGCAAAGCAGTTCAGCTAAGTCTGCTCCTGGCTTCCTCTCACCTCCCCAGTACCCACATCCACCTATTTCCCAGTCCAGGAAGAAAACGGCATTGCCCAAGAGAGACAAATGGTGTGGCCTGGGGAAAGAATACTGAACTTGGTGCAGAGATGGATTCAGATCCTGGCCCTGCTATTTAATTAGCTATGTGAATCAGGCAAGTCACCAGGTCCCCTGCCAGGATTTCTTACATTAACAGTAAACTAGGAATACTACTACCTACCTCATAGTGGTGGCTGTGAGGCTTAATCGAGATCATACTGATGAAGGCCCCCAAGGGGGCCAGTATATGGTAGGCCCTTAACAAATGTCTGCTGACTGATTTGTAGGTCTCTGCCAGCCCCTTCGCAGTGATACAGACAGTGGAGTCCTGTGTGTGTGTGTATGTGTGTGTGTGTGTCTGGAAAGAGACCCCTCATCCTAAACCCCACAGGGCATCTGCTCCATATTGGAACATACAGCAAATTGGCACAGACTGCGATGCTGGCGGTCAGCAGCATGGCACCCCCCTCGATGTGGTAGTCGCTGTGCAGCAGGCGGATGAAGGCCAGGTACAGGAGGATGCCAGTGACCATCCAGAGGGAGACCACAGAGGCCAAAGCCCCCAGAGTCTCTGCAAGGGGAGACAAGCTGTCAGAGCCCTGCTCAGGACTGTGAGAGGTACCTTGGTAAGTCTGAAGGGGGCTGGGCCATGCAGGTCCCTTACCTGAGCGGTGCCAGCCAAAGGTCATGGTGCGGGTGGCTGGCCGGGTAGAGAGCCAAAGGGAGAACAGGCTGCCCAACATGCTGCCCACATCTGCTAGCAAGTGGGCTGCATCGGTCATAATGGCCAGGCTGTGTGCCAAATACCCACCTGCAAGGCAAAATGAGGCACGGTCTGGTTCCCCTTAGGAAGTATCATGTAGTGTGTGATACAGGCATGGAAAATAATTTTGGGAAAATACACCAAAATGAGAACTGTGGTGGGATTACAAGTAGTAATCTTCTTTTTACTCATTCACACTTACTAGCTTTTCTACAATGACATAATTTATCTTAATAACAAGAACCCATTAACAGGAAGAGGTCAGCCCTGGCCCACCAGCTCCATGCTGGCTCTCCCTGGATTCCCCTTGGTGTTCTGTCCTTGCTGTCCCCTGATCCATGAGTCCTGGGCACCCAACACCCCCTCCCAACTACCTGCTTCTCTGCCTCTCCATCCAGGAACCCAACACTCTTGGCTGAAGAGTGGCCTAGACAGGTTGTCAAGAGCGTGAGGCTGAAGGGCTATTCCCCAACTTACCAACCACCTCCCCTGTCATGAAGACAAAGCACACAGCACAGGCTGCATACAGCTGCCTCCGTGCCTGCAGCCTCTCAGGGGTGAGACCTGGCTGTGGCATGGGGTCCCTGTGGCAGTGATGGGAGGTCATTCCCTCAGGCTTGGGCTCCTCCGGATGGTGCTCTGAGGGCTCTGTGAACAGACTAAGGCAAGCAACTTCTTCAACCTGGGACCTAGTCTACAATCTGACCTGCTTGCTCCCAGGTCCTCAGTCCCCTGTGCTGGCCTCAGCAGATGAGGTCATCTCTTGCTCCCGCCCTTGGTTCAGTCAAGCCAGGAGCCTTGTGGGCAGGTGGGGGCCAAAAGAACAGTTTAGATCCCATTCTCCCTTTTTCTTCCTTTCGTACACACAGCCACAGAATTTTACAGCTGGAAGGAACTTTACAGCAGTCTAGGTTAACAGCTTAATAAATGAAAGAGAAGTGTAAGGCCCAGAGAGGCAAAGAACTTATAGGCACCATACAGCTGGTACAGCTGAGACTAGATCCCAACCAAATTAATGCACCATGATAGGCACCACAGGAATACACAATGTGCAGGACATCCTTTCTGATCTCTAGCAGCTCTTGGTGAACAAGACAAGTTTGTCCCTAAATTTCATGATACTACAGCAGAAAGGAGACATTGCTGCTGGAACAGTGGAACAGTACTCTCACATGAGTTCTAATGAGGAAATCCGGGAATGGCTGCAGGAGGTTACATGAGAAGGGCCTTAAAGAATGGGAAGGACTTTGACAGACAAGTGAACATGTCAGGCAAAGGCAACAGGAAGGGAAGCTGGGGTGAAAGTGTAGAGCAGGACTCAACATGAGAATCTGGCTTTAATGCACTTCCCAGTCTTCTTCCCTAGGACACCATTCCTAGACTCTGCCTTGTCCCTCTGTGGACACTCAGCCCAAGTTGTCACGCTTGGAGAGGGGAATGGAGCCAGGTGCGATGGCCCATGCCTATAATACCAGTACTTGGGAGGTCAAGGCAGGAGGATTTCGAGTTTGAGGCCAGCATGGAATATATAGTGATACCCTGTCTTGAAAAAAAAATGGGCAGTGGAATGTTAGGATCCCAAAAGTCTGATATTTCCATCTCAGAAAAGTGATGGCCTGATTCCAGAGCTGGGTTGTCATGGGAGGAGGGGATACAGCCTGCTATGGCTGGGGATGATAGCAGCAGGAGGACTGAACTGGAATCTTCCACACATTAACTGTACCTCAGTCTGACCCCAAGCACCGGGTGGAAGTCCCCTTAACTGCATGGTGCCATAAGTCTCTCTTGACAAATAAATAGGGCTGTCAGAGGCTGATTGAGTTTTAGGTTCACTCTTGCCCAATTCTAACCACCACCATTGCCCATCCTAAACCCCAGCAAGGACAGAACCTTCCAGAGAATAAAGGACCTAACCAGAAAATGCAATCCTAAATAATTAAAGAGCTATGACAAGAATACCCATGAGGGAAAAACGATGGCTCCAGATAGAAACGTGATCACAGCAGTAAAGTTGGGGAGGGGGTTGAGATCTTCTGGCTGAAGAAAGCTTCACCAAGTAAATGAACTAAGGTTTGAGGAAGGTGGGGACATGGTGGGGGGTGCTTATAGGGAAAATTCAAGTGCTGGGAGGTAGATCCATTTCTCGAATGTCAAAGCCTCTTCTAAGACTGAGAATCTAGGCGTGCGTGATTGATTCTAGGGGAAATAGGAAGAGGGTGGCTTTGAAGTGCATTTCACTTGTTCTATGAGATATGCCAGGCAGTGTACACACAAGGAAGCCCAGTCTAGGGGAGTAACAAATGACTTCTACCAGGGAGAGGCTGTGCTGGAGGGTATGAATAAATCACTTTGGGGCACAGGACAGAGAGTGGCCAACTCTAATGGGGGAGGGGAGGACTTCACAGAGGAAGACCTGAGTCCTAGGTGGAGAAGGTACTTTGGGCATGTGCAAGCTGCAAGGTTTGCAGCTTGGAGTTTAAGTGTGAGATGCCAGGGAAAAGCTGAGGAGGAAAGTGAAAGGCTCACACAACACAGAGGGAGATGCCTTGATTGTCAGAGCAAATAACTTCAAGCTGAGATGACCTTGCTGTTGGGATGGTGAGAGGAGATGATGTGGATAGGTCTAGGACAGACCCGGACTGAGGCTCTGCCAGGCACAGTGGTAGAGGAGGGGCAGGTAAGTAGGGTGAGCCTCTGGAAAATCCTGCAGGATTTGGTGACTAATGGTCATATGAGAATGAAAATGGGCCGGGAGATGGAGATGCGGTCTGAAGAGCAGAGCCTGGGTGGCTTTGGTGTAGTGGGCAAGATGCCTTCTCTGGCCTTGTAAGGCACAGCACAACCAGTCATCAAGGTAGCCACCCATCAACAAGCTGCTCCCTTTTGTTCTGCATGAATCTGGCACTAAAGAGGTCTTACTGTTGGGGTGGGGTGGGGGTATGTGGCTATATTCTGTTGAAGGGGGAAGCTGTTTATTTTCCCTGGCCCTTGGAAAGCCCCAGCAAACGGCAAACAATATGGAATAAAGGAGAGGGATGATGGAGATGGGTGCGGGGGTCAAGGGAGATAGGGTTGATGCCAAGTCAAAAGGATATGCGAAGAGATGTCAGGGCCACAGCTGGAGTCCCCATAGCTGCCCACCTCTGCAGTCCCCTACAGGAAGGAGCCTTCTCTCCTTCAGCTCTCCCGCTCCCTCACCCACTCAGGTTTAAAGCCCCCTCTCAAAGAAAGAGCTGGAAGCACACCAGAGACAAAAGGAGAGGGACTGGGAGAGAGGCAGAAAGAGATGGAGAAAGAGAAAACCCAGAGACCCTAAGAAATTCCGGAAACAAACGGACAGTCAGCTAACAGACAAAATGGCCAGCGGAGGTGGCCAGGGAGGGCCTGGTGTGGCCGCACCGAGGGGCAGGGCGGCGGGATCCGGCGGACGCGGGGCGCGGGAGGCCCGCAGGCTGCGGAGGCGGTTCTCCGACCGCCCCCGGCCCGCTGTCCCAGCCGCTCGGCGCGCCTCATTTCACACCTCGCCGCCCCCGGCCCCGTCTGTGCGGAGCCTGGAATACCCCCGCCGCCCAGACCGCACCTGCTCCTGCTCCTTCCATGCCGCCCCCTCGCTGGCCCGCCGCCGCCCGCCTCATAGGAGCCCGGTGCCCACAACTGGCCGCGGCTGGAGGGAGCGCCCCGAGGCCGGGCGTGCGGAGAAAAGGGTCCGGGGCCTGGGTGGCGAGCTGCTCCCGCCGCCAGAGCCCGGGGCAATGCGGACATCGCCGCACCTGGCGCGAGCTCTGGTCCGACGGAGCGACAGCCGCTCCCAGGGAAGTCGGACGCGGTGGAGACGGCGGAGGGGTCCGGAGGCTTGGGACGCGGGCCGGGGATCGGCTTCGCTGGACCGGGAGAAAACGGGGTTGCGGAGGGCGGGTGTCGGGGCTGGAGGGCTGGGGCCGGGGGCTGCGCGGTCAGTGGGTAAGAAGCTGGGCCCGCGAAGCCGAGGGAGACGCGGGGCGCTGGGGCGGCCGGCTGGACCAGTGCTCAGGGAGACAACGAAATGGGCGGATGGCAGGAGGGTGGCGATCCTGGGCTGAGGGCCAGCCCAGGTCTGTCCTACCTCTTCAAACGCAGGCCGCTGCCGGCGCCGCCACGGTCCCGGGGGCTCACCAAGCGAGTGGTCTCCGACCCCCCGGCGGCGGGAGAAGGTTCCATGTCCCCGCTGTCCCGGCCGTCCAGGCCCCACCGAGGGAGGGAAAGGAAAGGCGGGGCCGGCTCCCGCGACAGGTCCGAGCGGCCCGCGGACCCCCGGACTCCCTGCAGGGCCGCGGGGCCACCAGAGTGGAGGGAACTGCGGCGACTGTGGCGCGCGGAGTCCGAACCGCAGATCCCGCGGTCGCTGGAGCCCCGCCCCGCGTGGAGCGAGCTCCCCAAGCCCCGCCTCCAGGCTCCCCGGTCTCTCTCCCACGCCTAAGACCCGCCCTCGGGGCCCCGCCCCCGCGCCAGAGCTCGGTGGGGACGGCAAGAGCGCCCGGCCACCAGGTTCTAGACCAGGCTCCATCTCTACAGCCCCTCCCCTTCGGCAAACCAGCCCCGTCCCCGCCCCAAGCCCCGCCCACTGGCTCCAAACCTTGCTCCTCAAACCTGGGCACCTTCCTAAGACCAACTTTCGCCCCGCCACCCAATCACCTTGTGGCTCTGGCCCCACGCGGAGGCAGAAACAGGTGCCAAGCCTATCCCGAAAGAATCAGAAAGAATGTGGGGTGGGCGGTGACACTTTCCGAAGAACTCCAAGGTCTCCAGCCAGAAACCCCACTGTGGAGGCTCTGGGGTAGGAATTCATGAGCAAAATCTGCTACCAAGCCCGGTACCGCTAATTATCATTTGTTTTTACATAAGGGCCTTGGGTGACAAAAAGCTTCCTGCTCTCCTTCAATCATTGTTATTCCTACTTTTCGGAGGAGTAAACTGAGTCGCCGAAGAAGCGTCTGAGGTCACGCAGCCCTTGAATAAAGGGCCCAAACTGGAACCCATCCTCTTTCCCTCCCGGGTCAGGTCTGGGCGCCGTACTGGCTACTGCTCGGAGTGTGGGTCATGGTCCTCTCCCAGAGCGGCTGGAGCAGCAAAAGGAGCGTTGCCACCTCTCTGGGGTCACAAGCCACTGTTTAAGGAGGGAAACTTTGGTCAGTAGGTGAGCCCTTAACCTCCATACGTGTAGCACCTTCCGGGGCATTATCTTATTTGGGGGAAACTAAAGCCCAGGGGAAGGAGTGACTTACAGCAAAGTCGGTGGCCAAGGCTGGAGTCGAAGCTTCAAGTGCTCAGGGCTGTCTGTCCCTCGCACTTGCCACAACTGTGGAATGAAAAGGGGGTGAGAAGTGGATTGTGCATTCTAAGCTGTGACAGTCTGTGAAGAGGAGGGTCCGTAGGAGGAGGGGAAAGAATGAGCAGGGATGGGAAAACGGGAGGGTGGGAGTGGTTAGTGAGCCAGGCCTGGCAAGAAATCCATCAACCGCATCCTGCAAAACATACGGAGCGTTGTGAATTTAGGGGTCCAGGGGACAGACACCTGCTCTCGACATGGTTATTCCAAACAACGAGGCCATGTGTGCACTTCCAAAAAAAAAAAATCATCAAAACCAAAAAACCCTGGAGCACGTGCCACTTAAGAGTGGCTGGAAGTGATGGGGTTAATCCGGGAGATCTTCGCGGAGGAGGAGAGGCTTAAAACGAATTAAGCAAGATGGGCAGCCGGGCTGGCTGTTCCGGTGGGGGAAGAGTACAGCTCGACTTGCGCCAAGGTTTGCGAGTGACGAGTGCGAAGGCATCGGTGGAACCCGGCAGAAAAAGAGAACCAAGGGTCTGCGCGCCCCGCCCACGCCGCGCTGGGACTACAAGCCAGCCCTCTGCGCTGGTGCCGCACGCTCCCCCTTTCCCCCTGCCCCGCCAAACAAAGCTCGGCCAAAGCCCACGCGGGGCAAGTGAACCTGGCAAGGGGGGGTTCTCCCTCCACCTTCCCCTAGGGGCCTGGGGATGGAGGGGACTCAGCTTTCTGTTCGGGTCACAGGAGGACAAACCGAGGCAGCGAGAGGGGAACGCACCGGCCAAGGTCACCTTGTTGGCCCACGTCAGAGTCAGGGTAAAATGCATGTTCCTGCTCGGCTGCTACCAGGGCCCGTGTCTCGCCTCGCCTCGCGCCGTCGGTTTTTGAAGCTTGCCAGCCACCCAGCCTGGGGCTTCCCTAATTCTGAGAGCCCTGGAGCTGGGATGACGAGGGACCACCACGTATTCCAAAGCTCGGTGCGTTAGCCTCGTCCGTAGCTGCTGGAGAAAGTGAGCTCGAGAATGCGGAGAAACCGCGGGGCCTACGCGGGAAACTGGCTCCTAGGCACGCCTCAGCAGATGACGACAACAGGGGACATGACAACAATGGCTTCCTCGGGGATTTCCCTGCCTGGGCAGCCCGCGGTGAGCAACCCCAATTGCCCGGGAGGGGGCGCAGACGCTGGCACGTGCCTGTCCCGACACCGGGTGGGAAGCCAGAAGGCGGGGAGGGAAAGGGATGTTGGAGTGCATGGATGACAAGGCTCACTGGATGTCTGGCTGCTGAACGTGCCGCCTCCGGAAGCCGAGGGCGCTGCGGTGGGAACACCAGCAGTTGCCTCCCTTGGGAATCTATGTAAGAAAAGCCTGGCAGCAAATCCAGCCGCTTGTACTTGTTTCTCAATCAAGTGACCCTCTGGAAATTTTGCAAAGAGCCCTCTTGAATGCCAGGCCTGAGGGCACTCATGCTGCAACTGGATAGGAGCTAGGAGTTTTCTGAGGACGTTAGAAGGCCATTCTAGGGCTGGTGCCCTTTATGGAACTGTGGTCTTGTAACAACTATTCATTCAACATTTACTCAACACTTAATCCCAGCCATGACTCCTACTAGCCTAGCTGGGGATTGGTGGCCAACAAGATGCACATGGTTCCTCCACTCCTGACTCTCATGATTGCAAGAGATTTCTTCTGCAGTCCTTTGTTACTGCTTTATCTGAACGCCCACACTGCCTGTTCTGCACTTCCTTAAAGTGAGTCATTAGGCTGCTCCTAGTCCCAAAGGCATGATGGTGATAGGAAGCCCTGGATGTCCCCAGGAGGACAGGTCAGTGCAACTTCCAGAGGGCTTCTGGAAGAAGAAGGTGCAGGGGGTCCAGGTTAGAAATCCAGGCTGGAAAACTTCACACTGGGAGAAAAGAAAACTGAGCCCAGCACTGAGATCAGGATTTAAGCAGCACTACAGACCTCAGACACAATTTGGAATCTAAGCAGGTGGGAAAGAGCTAACATTTGAGAGGGCCAAGCCAAGCTACTGGGACTTGTAAAGGCAACCTGGAAGTCCAGCTTCTACTCCATTTCCCTCTTAGATGTCACCTCCAGGAAGCCTTCCCTGACTTCCCCAGGCTGGGAATGGCTCTGTTCCTGTTCTCCCCAAGGCCTACTGTGCTTATCCAATCAAAGCAGTGATCACATTGTCCCTCTCCTCACTAAAGAGGATGCTCCCTGAAGCTCCTGTCTTTCTCATGCTGGGTCTCGAGCACCCCACTAGTGGGTGGTACAGAGTCCTCAATGAAGCCATTCCAGAGAGGAGGAGCTGGTTGTCAGAGTAGAAGGAGGATGGAGGAGGCAGAATTTTAACTGGTGATAAAGAAAATAACAAGGGGTTGCAGTTTACATGTCTCCACCTCATGGAGGCCTCCCCTAGCCCCCAAGGGGTCAGGCATCAAGTTACACAGTTGATGTATATACTGCTTTTTCTTTCTTAGCACTTACCACTCTGTACTTCCATGGTTATTTGAGGATTATTTGCTTCTTCACCTGACTTCCAGGATACCATTATCTGAATTTCTTCCTGTTTCACTGACTACTTCTTTTTAATCAGTTCATCATCTCCTCAGTCTTTTAATGCTGGATTAGCCCAGGACTGGGTCACCTCTTCTTTTATCTCTCTGGCTTCACTTCCATGGAGCTATCATCTAGTCTCTAGTTTTTAAGTACTATCAAGTAACAATAGAACTCAATGGTTGTTGAAGTTGGATGTTGGGTGCATGGGGAATCATTGGCCTGTTCTCCTATTTTTGTATTTGTTTGAAATTTATTTTTAAAAGATGACATATAAATGTCAACTACAGATTAGATGACTCTTACTGGGATTCCAAACTCATACACCCAAATGTCAGCCTGGTGTCCTTCCTGAAAGGTAAGCATCTCAAGCTTCATAAGTCCAAACCTGAGCTCCTCATCATCACCCCATCCTGAACCTCCCCTTTCTGCAGCCCTCCCATGTCAGAACATGGCAATTACATCTCCATTCACTCAAGTCAGAAACTTCAGCATCATCCTTGACTCTTCTATTCTCACCCCATATCCAGTCTGCCAGCAAATCCTGCTCCCAACCTTGTCCAACCACCTGTCTTCCTGCCTGTCACAGTAGCCTCCCAGGCGGGCTCCCTGTTTCCGTTATCCCCCTGTAGTCTATTCCCAATGTAGTAGCTAAGCACATCCTACTTTGTCACTCCCCATCCTGTTCAGAGTACGAGCTGAAGTCCTTCTAATGGCCTGTAAGGTCCCACATTGACCTTATGTCATAATCCTGTCTTACTCTGGCCTTCCCTGGAGTCCTACAACACTACAAATGCCAGGCATACTCCTGCTCCAGGGCCTTTGTATTTTCTCATCTCTCTAACTGTAATGGACTCTGCCAGATGTGCCTATAACCTGTCTCCTTATTTGTTTCAGGTCTTGACTCAAATATCACCTTCTCAGGCCCTCTTGACTTGCCCTTTCAAAAATTGCAACCCTTCCCCCCAAACATTCTTTGGCTTCATTCCATGCTTTATTTTTCTTCATAGCCATTGTTGCCATTGACATTCTACATTTTTACTTAATCTCATTTACTGTCTTATTTCCTCCTATCAGAATGTAAGTTTTGTTGGCAGAAAGTTTTGTGTTTATCCCCAGAACCTAGAACAGTCTCTGGCCCATAATGGCACCCAGTAAATATTTGCCAAAGGTTCTAATGCATGTCTCACTAAGCTATGATCTATGAGGGCAGAAAAAGACTAACCACTTATCGATGTATCCAAGGTCCTGGGCATAGAGCAGTACTTCGTAGATATTTGTTGAGCAAGTTAAGTAAGGAAAAGAATGTTTCATGGCAGACATGGTATGAG